ATCCGAAAAAGAAACAATGTGTATTACTTTCTAGGTAGTACAATTGTTGGGACAGCAGCAGTGGCAGCTTCTACTGATGAACAGGAGTCAGAAGCAACCAGGTTATGGCATATGCGCTTGGGGCATATTGGTGAAAAATCCTTGAAATTACTGATAGATCAAGGATTATTGAAGGGTGCTCGGGCTTGCAAATTAGCTTTTTGTGAGCATTGCATCAAAGGGAAGAAGACGAGGGTGAAATTTGGAACAGCAATCCATTATACTAAAGGTATTTTGGATTATGTTCATTCAGATGTATGGGGGCCTTCCAAGACAACTTCATTGGGAGGAACACACTATTATGTTACCTTTGTTGATGATTTTTCCCGGAGAGTTTGGGTGTATCCAATGAAGACAAAGGATGAGGTGCTAGGATTTTTCCTTAAATGGAAAAAGATGATGGAGACTCAAACAGGAAGAAAAATCAAACGTCTCCGTACAGACAATGGTGGAGAGTACAAAAATGATCCATTTCTGAAAGTCTGTGAAGAGGAAGGTATTGTTAGGCACTTCACTGTCAGAGGTACACCACAACAGAATGGAGTGGCAGAGCGTATGAACCGGACATTAGTGGAGAAGGTTCGGTGTATGTTGTCTAATGCTGGGTTAGGCAAAGAATTTTGGGCTGAGGCTTTGGTCTATGCTTGTCACCTTGTCAACCGCTTACCATCGACTGCTATTGGTGGTAAAACACCATTAGAGAAATGGTTTGGAGTACCTGCTACAGATTATGATTCCTTACATGTGTTTGGTTCCACTGCATACTACCATGTTAAGGAGTCAAAGCTGGATCCAAGAGCAAAGAAGGCGATTTTTATGGGGATCACCTCTGGTGTGAAAGGCTATCGTCTTTGGTGTCCAGAAACAAAGAAAATAATCTTCAGCAGGGATGTTACCTTTGATGAATCTACCATGTTGAGAAAGGTGACTTCAGAAAAATTGGAGCAGACAGATGGAACTCCCAAAAAGGTGGAGTTTGAAGGAAGCAAATTTGTCCCAACCAGTAAAGAAAATGATGTTGACTCTCCTATGGTAGAAGAAGAGTCAGATGAAGAAGAGGTTCAGACCCAAGAACCTCCACAGCAATATGAATCAATTGCACTCAGAAAGGGAAAGAGGACCATTAGACAACCTGCTCGTTATGCTGATATGGTCTCTTTTGCATCACCAATTGCAATTGATGACGTTCCTGCCACTTTTAATGAAGCAGTTCAAAGTTCAGAACATAAAAAGTGGAGGATTGCCATGAATGAAGAAATGCAATCCCTTCAAAAGAATCAGACGTGGAAACTAGCTAGTCTTCCGAAGGGAAAGAAGGCAATTGGGTGCAAGTGGGTATATGCAAAGAAAGATGGATTTCCTGACAAGAATAACATCCGCTACAAAGCAAGATTGGTGGCTAAAGGCTACGCTCAAACGGAGGGAGTTGATTATAATGAAGTATTTTCTCCAGTTGTAAAACATTCCTCCATCAGAATTTTGTTGGCTTTGGTAGCGCAGTTGGATTTGGAACTAGTTCAGATGGATGTAAAAACTGCATTTTTACATGGAGACTTGGATGAGGAAATCTACATGACTCGGCCAGATGGATTCAAAGTTGCTGAAAAAGAAGAGATGGTGTGCAAATTAGAAAAATCGCTGTACGGATTGAAGCAATCTCCAAGGCAGTGGTACAAGCGATTTGACAAGTTTATGATAGGGCAGAAGTACACAAGAAGCAAATATGATCATTGTGTGTATTTACGCGAGCTAGAAGACGGATCCTATATATATATTCTTCTTTATGTTGATGATATGATGATAGCTTCCAGGAGTCAGACAGAAATTGCGAAACTAAAGACTCAATTGAATAGGGAGTTTGAGATGAAGGATCTTGGTGAAGCGAAGAAGATTCTAGGCATGGAGATATCAAGGGATAAGAAATTGGGGAGGCTTTGTTTGTCTCAGAAAGAATATCTGAGGAAGGTATTAAAACGTTTTGGCATAAATGAGATGTCAAAACCAATTAGTACACCTCTTGCTCCTCATTTCAAGCTCGGTGCATCCATGTCACCTAAGGATGATGCAGAACGGGAATACATGTCAAAGGTTCCGTATGCAAGTGCTGTTGGTAGCTTGATGTATGCAATGGTGTGTACGAGACCCGATATTTCACAGGCAATTGGGGTTGTGAGCAGGTATATGCATGATCCTGGAAAGGAGCATTGGCAAGCTGTGAAATGGATTCTGCGGTATATTCTGAATACCGTAGATGTTGGTTTGGTCTTTCAGCAGGACAAACAAGATGGTCAGTGTGTAGTTGGGTATTGTGATTCAGACTATGCAGGTGATTTGGACAAGCGTCGATCAACTACTGGTTATGTGTTTACATTTGCAAAGGCACCAGTCAGTTGGAAGTCCACCTTACAGTCAACAGTGGCTTTGTCTACTACAGAGGCAGAGTATATGGCAGTTACAGAGGCTGTGAAGGAGGCAATTTGGCTTCAAGGGTTGCTTGGTGAATTGGGAATGGAACAAAAGAACATCAAAGTGCACTGTGACAGTCAGAGTGCTATTCATTTAGCAAAGAACCAGGTTTACCATGCAAGGACGAAGCACATCGATGTTCGATATCACTTTGTACGAGAGATTCTAGAAGAAGGTGGAGTCATAATCCAGAAGATTCGGACCACTGAGAATCCTGCTGATATGTTGACAAAAGTGGTAACTGCGGTCAAGTTTAAACATTGTTTAGATTTGGTCAATATTGTTACAAATTAAAAGATTGTTTTTTTTTAGAGATGTGTGTGGAATTTGCCAAGGTGGAGATTTGTTGGTTTTTGGCAAAAGTCCCACATTGGTTGTGTATAAGGAGGAGGGGAAATTCTTTTGTTATAAATAAAGCCCTCCTCCTCCTTAGTTAATCATCCCACAAATATAAGCCTTCTTCTATTTTAAAGGCTATTTGTATTCTTTCTCTCTTTGTAATATTTCCTCTATTAGTGAAATATTTTGGTGTTCTCTTTTATGTCTATTTAATAGCTATTGTCGGGTATAGTTGTTGTCAATTATTGTCATATTAAAATTACTTGTCTTGGTAGTTCTGTCTAAGGAAAGTGGGTTTTAAGAGGGACCATTGTGACCCCTCCTCTTTCCTGGGAATCTACCTTGGGGTGATTTTTAGTACAATCGTTTTCACACTAGTCACCTAGATAATAGTTTTCAAGGTGAATCTGTTATTGGTGGAAATTAACCCGAATTTCACAACACTTTCAACATCTGTAATCCATGGATGTGCATGCAAATTGTGAATTACTTAAAACGAATCCGGGTCTCGTACCCTTAAGAATTAACAACATTGAAATCAGCCATAGGAGATAAGACTATCTTCAAGTATATGTCAATTGCTTGACAGAGGCCATCATCGAGTGGTCTCGCATAATCCGGGATGCTAGCAGCAAGTGTCACGAACTTGGGAAGCTTGAAATTAACATCCGGTGCACTTCTGCTAAAAATTCGTCTATCAAACAGGCCACCATTTTCATTGGCCCTAATGAATCAGATCCGCTCATTAACTGTCTCTCCTCGACTATGTTAGCTGGAGTCGCTATAGCTGAAGCCTGCTCTACTAACAGGAAATGATCCAGAATTCTCTGAACACAGTCGATATCATAAAGAGTCTTGGAATAACTCATATTCGGTATGAGCAAGTCAACAAGAGAAGCTTGATCCAACTGCACTCCGACCCTCTTCTCCAAATTTTCTCGGTACGATGGACTTGCATGCGGTACCATAGCCGTACGAAGCAATCTAATGAAGAACTTGGATGACGTGACTCCCTTCTCGTTAGGAATTAACCATACAATCTCTTCCAAGAGAGCCCTTTGATTGGCTTCCGAAGGTTTTGGAATCTTCGTCCCCTGATTCACATCGTCCAAGCTTGATTGTCGATTCATCAAGGGAAGATAACTCCTAGCATAGTGTACCACCAATGCAGCAATGCTCTCTGGCCTCATGCCTCTTAATTCATTAGCTAAAATCAGTCTTTTGTATATCGGTAAACTAAGGAACGTTACGTCTTCGTACCACCTATCCTTACCGGTAGATTTCGTTCTAGTCAGATTCGATATTCCGTTCCATAAGCCAGTATTTTCTGGACTCTGCTTGCTCTCACGTCCCGCCAAAGGCCAGCTGTATAAACTTGGATCCTCATAAGCCTTCATTGCCAACGAATTGATGCACCTTGACACAATCTGGAGTTCTTCAGCATATGGCTAACTTCTTCAAATGCTTCAAGAGCTCTAATTGAATCCGCCCAAGTACTGAGTACTTCGTCAAGAAAAGACTCCGTTTACAAAACAAGATTCTCATCTCCATAATCATCGGTCATCTCGAGATACTCCGCTGCACATCGAACACTAACAACATTGTGTGCAGTGAGTTCGATTTTAACACCATAGCAAAACTTCGATATAAGCTCGAAAGCTTTGGCACCACCGGGTAAATCATCAAGCCTCAAACTAAAACTAGTTCCATCACCAGTAGAACACTCTTCAGTAAGCCACCTTAGCATCCCACTTCTCGAAAGCAACGGAAACTGCAAATCGATATTGAAACGAACCATTACCGAATCAACTTAGCTCCAAAAAACAGCCATTTCAAAGACAAAATACAGCTGAAATGACACACCTTGTGGAGATGGAAAGACATTTCTCCAATGTTAATGTTAACATCACCAGGAAGTCCAGATGTACAGAACCTGGAGAAAAGGAAGAACGGTAATCAACATACATGAATCCGAAGATTGTGAAAAATCGACATCCATGAATCGGAACTCACATCCATTTCCCAATGTAAAGAGAAGAAGAAAGCTTACCAAGAGTGATCTTCACGATGAAATGCTTCAGACTTGGAACCCAACCTCAAGAGTGCCATTATTACTATTATTATAACTTTTTAATAGACAACCTTGAAACCATGAAGAAAAAAACAAGACGGAGGAAATGAATGAAGAATCATCGTCAACTTGAAAGAAAAAATGATTTAAGTAAAGCAAAAATAGTAGGGTTAGCGAGTCTGGAGGGAACTTGTGAAGAAATATAAGGGCGTAGTTTCCATTTGGCTTGCTTAGGAGATAGCACTTGACTTTCTTCTCCTCATTTCTATCATGCTTTAATCATTCTTTGTTATATCATCACATCTCAGTTTATATCCTTTACTTAATCACTTTTTACATTTTAATCAATCTCTCGCACCATTTGAGGTCTAAACTTTCATTAAATCATGAAATTTATAGTATCTAATGCTTCGATTAATAGTATTTTAATCGAAATCCATGACCTATTCAACATCGTTTCAATCTAATTAATTTAATTAAACCATATCAAAGGATTTGATGAGAAAAATAAATAAAGTTTAAATGTATTATACATTTTAAATTATAAATTTATTTTCAAACAAATACTTCAAACTCATCATATTCAAAAAAAAACTCCAATCCTCGTTAGATGATAGATTTTTTTTATATAATTCCATAAATTTTAAATAGGTTTTGACAAAATCTAAATTGACAAAGTGGTAAAAAAAATAGTGAGACAAGTTTATTAATGTCTAGAATAGTTATAAATGATACCAGAGAATGATAATTTTAGATGAAGATTGAAAATAAATAAATAAAATCTAACTTTTATTGAAAGAAATAATAAAATAAAAATAATATTTTTTTAAAATTTTTATGTCAACATCAAAGTACGATCATATATTAACAATTTAATGACCCTATAATAAAAACTTGGGTTTTAGTGATAAAAAAAATATGTTATTCTTCCCATAAGTTTAAATAGTTATGAGTAGATATTACCTTATAATCATTTTAAATTATTATAAAAAAAATTTAAAGTCTAAAGTTGAATGACTATTTTGTAACTTTTATATCTTAATTTGTTGATTTTAAAAATAATTTAAAGTAATTAAAAAATAATTTTTGAATTAATCATTGACAAAAACACCAACAACCATTAGGGGTGAGCATTCGATCGAGTCGAGTCAAAAAATTTCGAGTTACTCGAGTTGACAAGTCATATTTTGTGACTCGAACTTAACTTGATTTTTTTTCAAGTCAAGTTTGAGAAATTTGAATCGAGTTATTCGACTTTCTATACAAATTTTATTATAATTATAATAATAATATGGTAAGGATTGATTCTAATTTTTTGTTTTTCTCTAATCATACAAGATATATATATATATATATATATATATATATATTTCTTCATATTCTTTAAACAATATAATGTTATTTAATATATCAAATACAATCTAAAATTATAAAATACATTTACAATATTATACTTTAAATATATATATATATATATATATTGAGGGTAAAATATTGATAAGAGTATAAAAGAGTCAAGAAATTGTTGGCAAGAAATAATTTGCAAACAATTGCAATCAAAAGACTAAATTGAATAAAATGCAAAGGTAAGGGACTAAATAAATAAGAGAGAGTATATTTTTAGTAAAAAACAAGAATTGATGTTACATAGGTATTCTATAGTGGTATAGGAGCATGTGATTCAAATTTGGTAAAAAAATGGACATAAAATGAAAGATGAATTGAAGAAATAAAGAAATCATGAAAAGTTGAGGACTAAATTGAAAACTAAAAAATTTGTTATCAAAAAGAAGAATTGAAAGCACATATGTATGATGATTTAGGAGCATGTGGTTCAAATTAGGTAAAATTTGACTTAAAATGAAAGAGCAATTGAAGGAATAAGTAAATCAGAGATTAAATCATAAAACTGTCAAAATAGTCGGTCAAATTTTCGATTTTTCGAGTAACTTGAAATTTCAAAATTATAACTCAACTCGAACTCGAAAACCGAATTAAAAATTCAAGTTGATTCAAATAACTTGAAATTAAAAAAATCGATTTTTCGAATCGAGTTGAGTTTTAATCACCCTAACAGCCGTGGACTTTTGAAGTAAAGTCAGCTACTAAAGTAAAGAGAGCTTAGTTAGCAGTTCGTTCTAGGACACGGGCAACTCAACCCACTTTTTCCCCTTTCCGAGTCAGCCGTCTGGGGGGCACCCGGTGGAGGCTCCACCGTAGACTGAGGCTGCGGTGCATGGTCCTAGAGTGAGAATGAAGGACGTTCAAGGCATGCCTGGGACTAAAGGTGGCCTTTTTCTCCGTATTTCTCAATTCAGTTTCGCCATCATTTCCGTCTCTGTGATGGCCACGACCTGTGGTTTCTGTCATTGGCATCACGGTGATGAATTTATGGAGTTTGTAGTTTTCGGTTATAGCACTGTGCAGCCTTTTTCGACTCTGTTGTGTTGTCAATTGCAGCAGCAGTGTAAATAGATCCAGTTTATGTTCTGTTTTGATAAAGCATTTTGCCATTTGTGGATGATTAGTTCAAGCTCTAAGTTCAATTTTGTTTCCTTTAGGTTGTTTTCGAATGTAATACCCTAGTATTGATGCTTTGATTGACAACCAGCATGCATGTCAACTACCATGCTCTAATTTTAGTATTTTGGCTGCTAGTAGGATACTGATTTTGGTTCATTGCTTACGAGATTTCAATCATATATTTAGATCAACCAAAAGCATGTCCATGTCTTCCGGGGAATGTTCTCAACTATTCTGTTTAAGCTCTCTATTTAAAACACTTATGGCATATTGGCATTGGCACCTTCACCAATCTCCATTGATTTCTTAGTTCTCTCTCTGTAAAACCCTTTTTCCTCCTCGGGTTTTATAAGCTCTCTTTTTTCTTGGAACAGGAGAAAGAGAGGTGTTTCCATTGTTTTAACCCTTGGTTAATCATCAACAAAATATCAGAATTTGGCTCTTCAACAAAATGACCAAGGAAAGTAGGAAAATAAGTTCTTGGATGGAAGTAGCTCCGGCTCTGATCATTCACCCAGAAAAGCCTTCAAGTTCTCCAGGTTTGGAAACCATTTTTGAAGATGTTGCAGAGGGATATGATGACACAGTTTGATATGTAACTATGTATGTGTGAATCCTTTGTCTTCTTAGCTATCTAAGTAATGTTTTCATGGTGTTTTGTTAGAACAAAGGGATTGAGAAAACTAAGCATTCATTGAATTAGCAATGTAACTGTAAATTTTGTAAATCATTCTTGTATTTTTTTTTTAAATCAGAGATATTCTTAAATCATGTTTCACTCTTAGCTTTACTGCAATTATGTTTGCACCATTTGAATGACTTTACTGCAAAAACTTCACATGCAACACAAAAAGAAACTAGGCAAAACCCACACAAATAATGTGCGAGCTTTTTATTCAAACAAAAGCTAAAGACAATAGTGGTTGCTTATTTTGCTGCTCAACCACACAAAGCAGTTTCCTCTCAACTTATCAGAAAGATGAGGGAAATTGACCACCATAACGACAATAACAAAACAAGACTAGTACACAGACCGACTCTTTTCCAATAAGACGGACAGAGTTCCACTATGTTAATGGTGGTGTCTCTAATCTCCCCACCATTGATGGACATAAACACCAGATCTTCTAAGGGCCTTGAAGAGATCCATGCAGTCTCCCTTCACCACTCCACCATTTTCGATTCGGTCCGAACAGTGTAGAAAAAGCTCATCGATGAAGCATATGGTTCCACTTTCAAACAAGTCCGAGAGTATTTTCAATTCCATTGCTCCTGCATTCATCTTCAGAACCACAAAGTCTGCATGCTGGACAGTTTCTTTAATCCAGAGAAGGAAGTTGAATCCTTCATCTTCAACAAACGGATCTGAATCATCAATAATATCGACATCAGTGGAAACCTTATTTCCAGGACTGGTTGAAACTCTATTTCCGGCAAGGCCCGGGTAGTAAACAAAGTTGATACCAGGCTTGTTGACATAGGATAGCATCACAGAAGTATTATGATCGACGAAATAAACATCAAAGGCCTTCCGATCCACAGGATATGACGGCAAGAACCAATCTGTAACATTGGAGTTCAAATGCTCACCTGCTCCAATATCAATATACACCAAACGTTGCTTATCAGATATGTTAACGAACTCAGGCAAATAAGCAATACTTCTTCCAAACCCAACCAGTTTCTCCTCCGAAAGAGGCTCAATGTTACCCATTATATCTTTGGAATTAGCCATAGTCGGGCAATCGGCCGGAAGCTGATACTGCTCAAAGTAAGTGGTGTTTTCGAGTTTCTTCTTGAATACAATCAACGTAAAGTTATCCACATAATCCACATGAACAACAGTGGAAGCTTTCAGTAAGGATGAAACCGGAGTAGCAGACCGGATCAAGTTAGTAGGTTCTGAACCACTAGGACCAACAAGCATGGACCCTATTCCACCGGGCTTAAGAACACGTTCAATCTCAAGCACGAGAATAGCAGGGGCCGAAACCTTATCCAGGTCCCTAGAGATGACAAAATCATAAGAATTGTCAACGTAATCGAGCTCATAAACAAATCTCTTGTGCTTGAGAGAGAAAAAGGGGTGCCTGTAAACCCCTGTAACATCAGAGAATCCCAAGTCTCTCAATGCCATAACAGCCGACACTGCGTCTTCACCGATACAAAGAGCTTTTGCAGTGTAACTCAACATTTGCTTTCCCATAAGCTCTTTAACCACGCTGGTCGTCAAGTTCATGTTTTGCTCACATTGAACCGATCCAAATGAACCCCAAAGTTTGGAGAACCAAAAGTTGCCTGGGAACATAATCGAGCTTGAAGAACGAGGTCCAATGGCACAACCTGCTGAGGTAGAAAGGGTATACAAGATATCTGGATCGGCCCCAGAGATGATTTGCAGCAAAGGAACAATCGATAAAGCAGCAGCAAGCATGAAAGCGCGTAAAAGGACACGCCTCCCAAAAGATCCACGAAATATGATCGACTTAAAGGTCTTAAAATCCATGGTGTTTTCAAGTAGCAGGGAGAAAGATCCAATATCAAAAGGAGAGGGTTGTTTTCTTTTTAATAAACTAAAATGAAGAAATCAAGAGAAATTGAAGCCAACGGGAACAAGAAGAACAAATTTAGCGAGTGCAAAACCTGGAGGATGTGTGATTTCCACCCACGAGGAGACCCATTGATCTTTGAGCAGTTAACCACACCTTCATTGGAACCCTTTTTCGTGACTTCACTTGAAACAGAACTCGATCCATTTCCCCCCCAGGAAACATCTCCCAATACTCGATCTTTAACCACACCGCGTCACATTCTTTGATAAACTTAACTTCGAATCTCAATCAGGGTTTTCAAGTTTTGATCAAAACAAAAAAAATGAAAACTTTCAGTGAAGGTTTCTTTCCCAAATGAGGAGATGCAGGAAGTGAAGTGTGAAAGGGAAGGTAAGGCTGTATTTAGCTGAGGCAACGGGAAAACGTGATAGATCTGAATCTCCCACCACTTGCGGCCAAGCAAAATAATGATTGTGGGGGCAAAGAGAACAGAGGAAGATGCTGGGGTTACGTGTTTTTGGGATTACGTGGCAGCTATAGGAAGCTTCTAATCTGTAAAGCTCAAATATCAAAGAGATTTGTAAACGATCACATATTTTTCTTCTCACAAAAGAGCATGGGATGTGGGACCGCCACCACATGATGCTCGGGGACTGACATGGTACAGTTTATTGGGGTCCACTTTTGTCTGTGCATGAACATAAACCCTTTTTTCAGACCACCTTAAATTGCTTGTAGAGCTGCCCATCATTCATTTTAAAGTAGTATCCTTTCCTCCTTTTTGGGTTCTTAGTTCTTACTGCCCCAAATCATGTTAAGATAGGCCCATAGTTGGGGGGAAAATGTAGCTCTAGTATGCAAGTAATTGAAGCTCAAGATAACAGTAAAATCTTATGTTTCAAACTAATCATCAAATAATTTGCCCAAATTTCAGGACAAACTTTACCAAGTTCAGTTTCATGAAGCTATTTGCATGTTCAACACCAGTTTTTCTTTTTAATGATGATCCAACAAAAAATATACTGTAATGGTGGTGATGCGTCACCAATAATAACTCACATGCACCTATGAGATATACTACAAATCGTAAAGGAGCAAGATTCATGTGATTCCTATCAAGTATCCTACGTATATTCTAGGGTAAACTAGATATATAATTATTAAAGTGTGAATGAATTTTTCATTTCTTCATTAAAGATTTAAAGATAATGAAATAATTGCTAACGTAATTGATTGACCCATTCTAAAATATAAACATGTCTGTGTTATTTTTTAAAATGACATCTTTAACATAAATTTTATCTAGCCCAGAGATGTGCTTCCAAAAGTTCTACAAGCAAAAATGCCAAATAAAAAAGAGGAAAAAACCAGTACATCTCGTCAAATTGAGAAATGAGAGATGTTATCTAGCTCAACGGGGGCAAGTCTACTCATTGGCATAAAAGAACTTGGCCCTAGAAATCAAGAATGATTGAACCAAGGCCCGATTTCACATGCCCATTGCCGTGGATCCCTACGCCGTTGGGTATAAGGGATGTTGCCATTCCAACAGCCATAGGTGGTGGTGGTGTTAAAGGGAATAATCCATTGTTATGTGCAGGGGTGGAACTACATTTATTCGAGAGTGGGCACATGTCTACCATGACATTCGAATTATTTTCGATTAATTATTTATTTTACTGATGCTGCTCGTCCTGAAATTTTATTTGTGCCCACTCGGCTCAATAAGTTTGTGTTATTAACACGTTTGATCATCCTGAAAAATATTTTGAATCTATCATTTGTTATGTGGATATAGTATGCGGACTTATGAGAGCAAATCATACAGCTTCTCGGAGATGTTGGCATTGCAATGCAGCTTTAAAGATGAAATCCATGGTTGCAATTAGAAGTTCATCATTTGAATCTACGGTTCCTACAGCTCACTGCCGCATTCTAGTTGGCTGAGAGCTCTAAATACCTGAAATAGAAGAAGACAACGAATTTTGTAAACAAAAAACAAATTTTAAAACAAAGTTACATTCAAATTTGAGACAAAAGTTCACATATACTATTTAAGAAAAACTCTCTTGTTCTCCTAAAACATCTTAATCCCAGTCCAAATATATTATTTAAGAAAAGAAATGAAGTCCATGACAACGAGTATGTTACATAAATTCGCTTTGCAGGCTCTGCATCTGGCTTTTGAAGTCGTTCAAGAAACGCATAAGCAGCCAGTGGATGCTCTGAATGCTCAACTAATTTAGGCGCCATGCAACTAGGTCAGGTTGCAGATGCTTCGGAGCTTTATCCAATATAACAATAATAGTCAATGAAGAAACATTTAAGGTTTAAGAAATTGGAGATTTAGGGTTAATAAGTAAAATTTATGTGCGTTTTTGATGGGAGTCAATTAGCCGGTTAAGATATTGATCAATGTAGTCAAACGGTGACACCTCAACGCCCCAAACATGCCAAGTCAGCTTCTATGACAGGGATAATAATGTTTAACGGCATAATGACCATTTTGTTACTTTTAATTAATGTTAATGCCCGTTTCATTAATACATGAGTGACTATTTGTATAGTTTACTCTATATTCTAAAAATAGCCGTTTGTACTTACAATGGAAGTTCTTTCTTCCTCCATATCTCTTTGGTGCTTCCAATGGCATCTTTGTCCTTGAATGGATTCAGTTGGTTACGCCTCATTGCTTCAAGAAAACCAACTGCATCCCGGGACAGAGCAAAGATTCTAATTCAAGGGTGCAAAGCACAATTAATAATAAAAAATGAGAGACAAAATTATAATAAATCAAAACTTGAAGGTCTAAATAGATATTTATACTGTATATTTTTTAATAATAAAAAAATTGGGGGACAGTGTCCCTGAAGCTGAAACTATACATAGCTTTGTCACTGACTGCATCACTAGCAAAAATCAATGTAACCCTTTGCCAGCATCTCTTGATGATGAGAATGCTCATTGTTTCTAGCTGGAACTGTTAATCTTGCTCGAAAGTAATAGTTTATCCTTGAAAACTGAACTTACTGCATAGAACATCATGAAAGTTGAACTCCCAGAAGTGAAAAAAGAAGAAGCCTTCTTTAAATATTTGAAACTTGCCTTTTCGTAAACATACATATGTCCATCAGCATGAGCAACCAAAAACGCACCATCATCTCCAGGAATCCATGCAATACTAGTACAGCCACTGCTGGAAACAATAGGCACTAATCAGATTGGAAACAGAGCTAACTCAGTTGAATACATCAATTCAAACTAATACTGAAACATTGAAGTGAAGCTGGATGATGAAGGTGTTGGAGTAGATGGAGCCGGCTTGTCTTTTAAATGCGCTAGGGTGACCTGCAAATTAAACTTTATTGAATACAATATCCAAGAAAACCAATACTGAAACATGAATATAACCCCAAAAAATCTGTTCATTCGGTGCTTAATTAAAATTTGACTTTATAAAAATAACATTAATTTAAGTCCTTAAAATTCAATCTTTCAACCACAACGTTGAAACTAATAATAAAAGCTGTTGATTTGAATAAATGGGTCACAAAAACTATAATTAAGTAGTGCTTCTGACTCGAGTGAAGTATCATAATCGGTATTTAGATGGTCGTTAACTAGTAATGGTGATTTTAGAGATATAAGTGATCAACATTGTCTCCAAAGACCATGTTACAACCATAGATATTAAGCGCAATCTACTCAAAATATAGTGTCATTTTAATGTCATTCCTTTAGAGGGGAAAAGAAGACAGAATTTCAGGTGAAATAGAAAACAGCCTCATGTATGATATATCATTCAGGTGACTAAGTTCCAATGTGGAGGAGTCGTGCCTGGAGCGTGCATGAACCATTATATGTTTGATGGCATTGATGGAATTTGTCAACTCATGGGGTGAAACAGCCCAAGGTTTGCCACTAACTGTGCCTCCATTCTCCGACAGAACTATTCTTAAAGCCCGAAGCCCGGCTAAGATTGAGCAGCTTCATCAGGAATTTGCTGAGATAGAAGACAAATCCAGTACTGGTGAACTCTACTTTGATGAAATGCTTTACAGATCTCTCTGTTTCGAGCCTGAGAAGCTAGAGAAACTGAAGAAAATGCCACGGAGGATAGTGTTCTCGAGAATTGTACCACTTTCACCTTTCGTGTGGACTGAGGGCTCGGACCAAGGCACTAAACTTGCTGTCTGGTCAACAAACTAAGCTTCTCTTTGCCGTTGATGACGGGTTTAAATTCAATCCATCCCTTCCAAAGGGCTACTTCGACAACGGCATTGTGTTGACAAACCATATGCCAAGCAGAAGAGCATCAAAGGTGTTGCGTCTCTTTTCATGAAAAGAATGTATATCCAGATATTGTTGTGGATATTTTCTTTTTTTATATTAGAGTTTAGGTAATTACAAAGTAGTATTTGTTTTAAGTACTCTCAATTATTTGATAATAAACGTTCAATCACTTTTGCATTTGTAGTTGCTTGTGCTCGAATAATAACCTCTAAGAATAACAACGATTTTTGCAGTTGTTGGTGCTCGAATCATAACCTCTAAGAATAACAACGATCTTTCAATCAATGAGATAAGTTGGTTCATGTGAGCGTACTAATATTTAAGTTTTTTTTCTTCTTTAATACATTTCCCTTTTAGAGTCACATGCACCTGAATCTACTTATAGAAAAAAAGGTTACAACTCACATACTCTTTAAATGTTCTTTTATGCCTCTTTAAATGTTCTTTTATGCCAGAGATGCCTCAACTTGGACCACGCCTCCATCCTGGCATATTGTGAGCGAATTTGCTCACTCTCCACCCTCGGCTTGACGACTTTATCTTTCGCTATCGCACCGGGTCTCTTTCCGTGCTTAACTGCAGCGACACCTACAGTCTCGTCACATCTCGATCTTGGATTGACTACTTTAGAACTTGTAGTCGCACCACTTTCTGGCCTGATGACATTGACATCTACAATCACGTCGGGTCTCTTTTCGGGTTTAGATGTCTTATCATCCGCAGTCGCACCTCGTCTTTCTCTTGGCTTGGTCTTATTAACACTCGCAATCGATCCAAGTCCCTTTTTTGGCTTGGATGTTTTCTCACTTGCAGTTGCGCCATTTCCTTTCTTGACGGTATTGACACTCACAATTGCGTCAAGTCTTGCTACTCCTACTTCTGGCTTGTCTGGCACAATTTTTTGGCGTTTTTACCAAAGTATCATCCTTAGATCCAATAATCAACTGTCATACACCTTTTCCCCTAATATTACTGATCTAACATCCTTTCTGACATGGTGGCAAAAAAGCGCGGATCGTCAGTAGCGCCTTCGCGGGATTCTGTCCGAGTTGGCATCACGTAAGGAAATGCGTGGATCGTCATCTGCTCTTTCTCTGAACCTCTGACACGTACGGAAGGCGCGGATCATGATTCATGCCTTCCATTATGCACGTTGAATTATTGGTACTACATTATTACCCGAGCATGAAAACTCGACTTTTAAACGCTCCCCCTCCCCTATAAATAACAACCCTCTGAATGCAAGCATCAACACACCAAAATTACTTGCTTATTTTCACTTCTATCAAGCTAAGTAGATTTTGTTATTGTATAAGGTAAAACAATTTTTTATTATATTATATTTATATTATATTTAATTATTTGAACAAATTTTATTGTACTAATTATTTTGTATTATTTTTTGTGGTTATAAAATTGGAAAGTGGAATCACACCTCGAGACATTTTGTTGATACGATAATAATATGAAATTTGTGTTATTTACATTATTGTGAATTTTTTAAAATTTTTTGGATTAGTTTATATTTTAATTCATATACTATTTATTTAATTAGATGTATTTCAGGTATTGTTTTTGCAGATATAAGACTCAATCTTTCAAACTCTCAAAATGAAGCGTATTTCAACTATTGTTTATTATGACGGAGAAATTCAGGAAGATGAAATCGTCGTCGTCTTCGCATCAAATCATTTTTTCAGAATATCCTTCAAGAGAAACATCACTCTTGAGGAGTTGATCACTAAAATTTCAAGGAAGGTTCATGTTGGAAGTACTAGAAGATTGTCCTCACTTTAGTACAGATTTCCAACCGTAGTATTTCTGTTAACTTATTCAGCCTTCGAACTCTCCAATGATGACGATGTTGCTATGATGGTTGATTCTAAGAATCAATATTCAGATGTCGGTACACGGACGTATGCAATATTTGTTGAAGTATATGTGGTTCGTGGTATGTCATTATGCTCCCACTATGGGCTGACTCAACAAGTTGATCAAGTTGATAGCCCAACTCAAGTAATGTGTAATGATTTTAACTCGTTAATGGGAAATCCACATCATGGTGATATCCCATCAAGTTCAATGGAGAGACATTCATCAGCAACTTGTTACGATCTGTACCGATGTGGCTCCACAAACAATCTGTATGGCAACATCGATTCTAGTTCAAGGGGAAGACATTCATCTGCCAAATTCTTTGACCTGAATATAGGATGCCCTCGACGTAGCAGTATGTGCAGTACCCATTTGACACGATGCCTTTAAGTTCCAGGGGGAGACATTCAACTGCGAGCTTCTTCGACCTCAATATCAAGATGCCTTCAAGTTCAAGGGGAATGCATTCAATTACCAGCTTGTTCGACCTAAATTTCGGTATCATGGAAGAACCCTCATCTCTACCAGAAGAACATCTTCGTCCACGAGTCGGTGGACGATGATACTGTGACGGTAGACGTCTTTATCAGAACCGATTAATGCTCTCGCCTCGTGCTTCCTCAGAAAGTATGAACGGTTTCACGTTCGTGTTGAACCACTCATAATAATCATTTGCAACCGAATAATGATCCACATAAATCGTTATGTACGGGATTACGTCCACGCCGATCCTCCCATATCATTACCCACTCGATCTGTTTCAACAGCCAATCGACTTCTTCTTTACCCCGTCTATCGATGATATGCATATCGTCGAGAAACTTAGGTTCTTCCGGAATATATTGTATAAAACCAAATTGGCAGAACACGCGATCAGTAGGATGTCACTCGACAATATTATAACATATCAGAGGGACCACCGCCATCCAGACATCTAATGGGCCTCTCAAGTGATGTTGAATGCAAATCATCATTTCTTTAGTAGAATAAGGAGTCCATTGAAGCTAAAACAAATATATATAATTCTTACTAAAATAATATTCTAATTATATAACAATAATTAAAAGTAAATAATAAAATTTAAATACATATCTCTATACCAATCTTTTGATCAATGAGTAGACAAATTTCTTCCAATTCATTCAGTAAATCCCGATGATCTTTTATTGCACTTGACCACCTATTTAATGAAAAGAATCATTATATACTCAACAAAATTATTTATATACGAATTCAGTATTGAAATTACCTCAATAAAAGCATGAAGACCAACGGGTTTTTCACGACCAGACATAAAAAGGGCATGCGGTACCACGCCCAAGACTGAAGAAGAAAGAGACATCCACCGATAGCATTTTTTTCGATAATCAGTTGCTTGACACATTTCCCTATACGTAAATGCCAAAATTACATAACCCCAACTAAGTGTGTCAGCAACGTGAAAATCTGCAATGTGACACAACCACATACAATGAACTTGGTTGCACGATTTATCGGGCATGAAGATCTCTCCGATGAGTTGTAATATGCAAGCTCGTGCATATATTTTAACATGTTCCTCAGAGGCGTCGCGACTCAAATGTTTAAAAGTTGTATCCAACGAATTTAATGGTATTCGACCACCGTTGAAATTAGGCGGGACACCTCCAAGATACTCCTCGTACAAGGAATGTCAGTCACCATCCGCCACCCCAGAAATCACATCCTCATCTATCGAAAGCCTCAAATGTATGGAAACATCCTCCAGCGTAATAGTGCACTCTCCACATGGAAGATGAAATGTGTGTGTCTCTAGTCTCCTCCTCTCAACCAGTGCACAAATAAGGTTAGGTTCAAGATTACAGTGCCCTTCATATTTCGCTACGTTACCGATTCCAGCCTCAGCTAAATACGGCTAGACACAAGTAGGTATCTATAACTTAACGTTGAATGGATCTAATATACAATCTCTATCTTAATTTAATAAATAGAATACAAATTAAAATATAAACTAATACTAAAAAATTAAATAAATAAAACATTCGTAAGAATTAAAATAACAACATAATTTAAAATTGTTATCGTATCAATAAAATGTCTTGAGATATTATTCTCATCTAAACGTAGCAACATGTGTTCTATTTTATTACTGCAAAAACTAATAAGATAGTAGGCTGCCCCCAACACTAGGTTGAGAGCAGCTTCCGTAGGAGACCTCCAAATTATGAAATGCCCTCCATGGGACTCGATCCCACGACCTCAAGGTTAAGAACCTTGTGCTCTACCAACTGAGCTGGATGACATTTCATAATATAATAAAAATATTTTACCTTATTAATATAAATATTGATAATAAAAAGAATGAGAGAATTTGAGATTTGAATGTGGTTTGAGAGTTGTGTTGAGTGTGATATTTATAGGAAGAGAGAAGGGGGAGACGAGTAATAATCAATGTGGGAGACGGACGATTGGGGAATTAAAGGAAAGTTGTGGATCATGATTCGCGCCTTCCTTACGTGTCAGAGTTTAGTGAAGGCGCGAATGACGATCCACACATTTCCTTACGTGGTGTCAGCTCGGACAAAACCTTGCGTAGGAGCGACTGACGATCCGCGTTTTATTACCATCGTGACAGAAAGGGTGCTAGATCAATAATATTACGAATATGCGCTTTTCGTACGTGTCAGAGTTTAGCGAATGCACGAATGACGATTCACATCTTTCCTTACGTGGTACCATCCCTAACAGAACTCCACGAAGATGAAGCTGACGATTTACACTTTATTACCACAGTATTAGAAATGATGATAAATAAGTAATATTACGAGAGATGGTGACTGACAGGTAATTATTAGGTCTAAGAGTTATATTTCTCTAAAAACGCCATTTTTTTCATCATCATCGACAAAGAACTGACCGTTGCAAAGATCCACGTGTCGCCTTGCTCATCCGCCTGTCTCCATCACTCATCTTTCGCCCTGATTCTTTCACTTATTTCCTTCACATTATTCCTTGTTTGTTTCCTCAGCTTTCCTTGTTTTAATCGTAATGAAAAATACTCTCTTCTCTCAAAAGCTCTGGAATTTCTAGTCTTTCTTCTTCAACAAATTCCTCTTCCCAAACAAGGAATTATTATTATTATCCATTTTTTTTCTTTTTAATGGGGTTTGGACAATAACCACAATCTGAACCAAAATAATGTTGCCCTTCTCTTACAAGGTCAAATCCATTGCTTCCCTTAGTTTCCTCTGTTTTCTCAGCACAATCTTTGGAACAACGGAATTCGATTTCGGGACATTAACTCTCAGCAGTCTAAAACTCCTAGGCGACGCTCACTTAAACAACGGGAGCGTGAGCCTCACTCGCGAACTCCAAGTACCTTACTCCGGCTCCGGCAGAGTTTTGTATTCGAAGCCGGTGAGATTCCGGCAACCCGGAACCCACTCCGCTTGTAGCTTCTCCACTTTCTTCTCCTTCTCCATCACCAACCTCAACCCTTCCTCCATCGGCGGCGGTTTAGCCTTTGTCATTTCCCCCGACGCTGAATTCGTCGGCTCTGCCGGCGGGTCTTTAGGTCTCCTCGATGAAAAGGGTCAAGGCCTGGGGTTCGTCGCCGTGGAATTCGACACTCTAATGGACGTTGAACTCAAAGACATTAATGGAAACCACGCTGGGTTGGATCTCAACAGTGTGGTTTCTTCTCAAGTTGGCGACTTAGGAGCTGTGGATATTGATCTGAAGAGCGGCGATCTCGTTAATTCGTGGATCGAATACGATGCTTTGTCGAATGCTTTTAATGTCTTCATTTCGTATTCGAATTTGAAACCCAAAGAACCCATTTTATCAATGACTTTGAATCTCGGCCAGTATGTTAATGATTTCATGTACGTTGGGTTTTCGGGCTCAACCCAAGGCAGCACTGAGGTTCACAATATAGAATGGTGGAGTTTTAGCTCTTCTTTCGAGTCAAATTCAGGGTCAACATCTTCTCAGACGCCACCGCCTCCGCCAACGTCTACTTTAATGAACCCAACAGCAAATACAGCTAATACCCCACCGCCTTCATTGGCTCCATCAGGTTCCGATTCCATTTACACCGCTCAAGGAAAGACCAGTAAGTCATCTTCTTGCCATAACCAGCTCTGCAAACAAGGTCCAGGGGCGGTTGCCGGAGTGGTAACTGCCGGAGCTTTCTTTTTGGCCTTATTTGCGACGGCTCTAATCTGGGTTTACTCTAAAAAGTTCAAAAAAGAGAGAAAATCTGAGTCTTTTGCGTCGGAGATCATCAAATCGCCAAAGGAATTCACTTATAAAGAGCTTAAAGAAGCCACGAGATGCTTCAATAGCAATAGAATAATCGGGCACGGCGCCTTTGGGATTGTTTATAAAGGTATTTTATCTGATAATGGTGATATTGTGGCAGTAAAGAGATGCAGCCATAGTAGTACTCAAGGGAAGGCTGAGTTTTTGTCTGAATTAACAATAATTGGGACTCTTAGGCATCGAAATCTCGTGAGGTTGCAAGGATGGTGCCATGAAAAGGGAGAAATTTTGTTAGTTTACGATTTAATGCCCAATGGGAGTCTCGATAAAGCATTGTATGAAGCTCGAACGCCATTGCCATGGGTTCATAGGCAGAAAATAGTCCTAGGCGTTGCCTCTGCATTGGCCTATTTGCATCAAGAGTGTGACCATCAGGTTATCCATAGAGATGTCAAGACCAGCAACATAATGCTCGATGAAAGGTTCAATGCAAAGCTGGGCGATTTCGGTTTAGCTAGGCAAGTCGAGCACGATAAGTCCCCAGATGCCACGGTGGCTGCAGGCACGATGGGATATCTAGCACCCGAATATCTTCTAACAGGACGAGCCACTGAAAAAACAGACGTATTCAGCTATGGTGCAGTGGTTCTCGAGGTGGCGAGTGGGAGGCGACCTATAGAGAGAGACGGCATGGGCAATAGTTTGAAATGCAATACCAATTTGGTGGAATGGGTTTGGGGTTTGCATCAGGAAGGGAGATTGTTAAATGCAGCCGATCCAAGGCTCGAAGGTGAGTTCGAGGAGGGCTTGATGAGGAGGGTTCTAATGGTGGGGTTAGCTTGTTCGCACCCCGACCCGATGGCTCGACCCACAATGAGGGGTGTGGTCCAGATGCTAGTGGGTGAAGCCGAGGTTCCCGTGGTTCCAAGAACCAAACCTTCAATGAGTTTCACCACTTCTCATCTGTTGTTGAGCTTGCAAGATAGTGTATCGGACTGCAATGGCGTGGTTACCATCTCTAGTTCCTCATCGGAAAATAGCTACATTGGCCCTGAACTAGTGTAAATCAGAGGTCAGAGATTCAACAATCTTTTTCCATCGACTCATGTTACTCATTTCTTCATTATATATGTATGTATGTATGTATGTATGACGGAATAACACAAGTAATGTAAGTGTTCAATAAATCTGGATTCATCGCTAGAGTAGGAGGCTGTTTGGGGACAAAGAAAATGGTTGGTAGGAGTCAATTTCTAGGTAAAGGGAATCTTAATTTTTTGTTTATGGAAGGTTGGATGGTTGCTTTCACAAGCAATCCCCCATTGTCAAAAACCGACACTAGAGCTTTGAGTGGAGGCTTGGTAAAGCATTGAACAGTTGCTGCTGAAAGTGGGATTAAGCTGTATTGACCGTTACTGTCCAAATCGATTTTCTCTTTTATTATTAATTTGGCATAATGCTAAATTTAGTCCCTATTGTTTATAAAGTGATCAATTTAGTTTATATTTCCTAGAGTAAACTACATATTTAGTCATCTATTTATTCATGTTGTTCTGTTTTGGTAGCAAACTATTTTTAAAAAAAAATCATTTCTAAACTTATATTTTGGTCATCCGCTATTAAAAATAAATAGAATTATTAACGTGATTTTTTCAATGATAGTGACATTATTTTATGATGATACGTTAATATTACCATTATTTTTTTAACATTGGATAACCAAAATAAAACTAAAACATAAATTTAAGTATGATTTAAAAAAAATAATCGGTGATCAAAATAGAACTGTAAGAATAGTTGGACAACAAAATATATAGTTTATCATTTTTTAATTTTTTAGCTTTAACCGTTATAATTTTCAAAATGACTTCTGGTTGTAGACATTATATTTTTTTTTATATATTTAATTATTGACATCTAACGTGCTAATTATTATATTAGGTGATATGATATATATCATGTCATCATCTTGAGCGACATAACATATGATACATCAATAGTTTAATATGAGTAGAAATGTTGCACCAGTAACATACGTTAATCATAGTCAATAAACAATTTTCAGTAAATAAAATATTTTTAAAAAAATAAAAAAATTCTTAAAAAGTAAAAATTAAAATATTTATTCAAGCATATATTGAGAACTAATTTTAGCATTGTGTCTATTATTTTTATCTCAACGACTTCTCTTCCCAAGTATATTTCACAATTGGTTATTACCTATCTTCCGAATCAATTGGCCGACGGCATAAAACAGCCACACCATCCGACCTCTGACTGCCCGGACCAGAACAGCTCTAAATTTGATGACCTGATACCGACAGTTGATACGTCATGCAAGCAGGTTTTAACTCAGAATCGTGTCTGCTTCATTATCCAGCTCTTACAAAGAGCCACGCCAGTTGGATAAAGATGCCTAAAATTATCAGTTAGATTATTATTTATTTTCAATTGGTTTAGACAAACAGTGTCGGTTTTGGATGTTTCCTTCTACTTTATAATAAGCAGCCTCAACCGTGTTTATTACTATTATATGTTGAAGTTGACAACAGTTTTGCTGGTTCCAATCCCCGTCTGATTATAACAATTTGTAGAAAAATAAAAATTAAATTAAATTATCAAAAAATAGGGGTACAACTAAGAGATTTCCCAGTAAACAACGAAATTGTAATGAACGCTTTTCAAATTAAATTTTTAATTAGACGTCGACCTATTTTGTCTTTTAAAAGATTTGTTCTTTTTTTTTTTAAAATATGATTTTTGGATATTTGATCTATCTAATTCAAAAGATCGATGAAAACTCTAAAAATTTAATTTTTAATAAAAAAAGCTACGAATCATTTTACAAGCTTAAGGATTGTTCTGATAAAAGAAAATTAACGATTTAAAGTTTGTGAAACTAAAAATTTGGGGGGGAAATAATTAGATAACCCATGTTTTGAAATTAATCCATACTATATTATTTTTTGATTCGTTGTTTTTTTTCATTAACTTCATATAGGACTTCCATTAAGGAAACTAAGAAAAAAAAACTTGGCTTGGCGGCTTGAGGGTTGCATTTTTATTCGTTTATGCCTAGGTATTCAATCTATCTAATTTAAAAAATTAATGAAAATTATAAAAAATAAAAATATCATGAATATTTTTACAAACTTAAAGATCGTTTCGAAAAAAATTAACAGTTTAAAATTTGTGAAACTGAAAATTAGGTGAAGAATTTAGGTAACCCATGCTTTATTGTTCTTTTATTAGTGTTTTTTTCCTCGTTAACTTCAAATAGGACTTCCATTAAGAAATTTAAGAAAACAACTTGGCTTGGTGGCTGCAGGGTTGCATATCCATTCATGATTCACCCATGTCTAGGTCTGACGTCTGAGTGCCCCCAGTAATAATTTTTAATATGTTTAACATAAAAATAAGTGTTTGAACTGTACCTCAAAAATAAATTTTTACATTTTATGTACAAGCTAAACAAAAATTGTAAAATTATGCCATTAATGGTTAAAATCTTTAAACTTCACAATTTAAAGTCTAAATTTCACTGTGTGTTCAATTTAATCCATATATTCACTAATATTTAAAATGTAAAAAAAGGGGATAGCCGAGTAGACAAACTTGTAAATGAGTTTGTTCATGAACATAAATGAACAACTTGATAAACTAGTTTATTCATGAACAACAACGAAACGAGTGGATAAACGAGCTTATAAATGAACTCATAAATGAGTTTATAAACGAGTTTGTTCGTAAACATAAATGAATCGAACACATATGTTTTTGTTCGTTCGTTAATTAAACGAATATAAAAAATTGTTCATACTCGTTTATTTAACTTAACAAGCAAACATAAACGAACTTTATACAAACGGTTCACGAATAATTTACCGAACGTTCTGTTTGTTTATACCCACATCCACAATTTTGACCTAAAATAAAATGTTAAGATAAAAGTATTCCAGAAAAATAGATTAAAATGATTATTCAACTAAATATTAAAACTATTTTTGTCATTATGTTTCTATTTTATTTTAAAGCTAACGGAGATTAAAAACAAGAAGACGCTACCTAAGATCAATATTAAGAATACATTCCACGCAAAGTTGGGTTTAGTTGTAATTGTCTAATAAATAAGTATAAAATATTGATTTGATGCCGTGCGTGGCAGCCAGTCAAAACAACATGGTTAAATGAGCTTTGGGAGTTCCGTTGTTTAGATGAGATCTGGGTCTGAGAAGCCGCTAGCATCATAGAACACTTGCGTCTACAAAATGGAGTCACCATTCAAAGCAGATATATTGAAAGGCAAAGTAGCATTGGTAACAGGAGGAGGCTCAGGAATTGGATACGAAATCTCGTTGCAGCTCGGCAAACACGGTGCGTCAGTTGCCATCATGGGGCGCCGCAAATATGTTATCGACACTGCTGTTGACGCTCTTCGTTCCCATGGCATCCCTGTAATATTCCTCTGATCACTTCTTTATATTTCTACTCCATCTATAATTGCAGTGCAGAGGTGGGACTAAGATTTAGTTATTTCAGGCTATAGGGATTGAGGGAGATGTTAGAAAAGAGGATGATGCAGTTACAACTATGAAATCAACTTTTAAGCATTTTGGCAGGCTTGACATCCTTGTCAATGCTGAAGCTGGCAATTTCCTTGCGGCTGCTGAGGATTTATCTCCAAATGGATTTCGAACAGGTTGTGCATAAATTTGTAATTTCTGCTAGTTATCCAGATTTTGTGATTGTATTTTGTCTAAAGAATGCATTTAGCTGTTAATTGATTATTATTTTTTATTTCATTTCCTTGTTTATGTTGTTGCAGTCATTGATATAGATTCTGTTGGAACTTTTATAATGTGCCGTGAAGCTCTTAAATATCTTAAGAGAGGGGGACCAGGGAAGGATCCCTCCGTTGGTGGAAAAATAATAAACATAACTGCACTTGTACATTGTCCAGCATCATGGTACCAAATCTGTTGACGAAAACGGGTAAAGAAAACAAAAGAACACGAGAATTTTACGAGGTTCGGCAATGTGCTTACGTCCTCGGTGCCTAGGCGGCGCTAGAAGTTTTTATTCAATGATATTTTAGGTCTAGGTTATATCTCTATTTATAATAGAAAACCCTGGTACATAATTACAAAATTAACCCTGTACCGTACCGCGGGGGCTGCGCCCCCGCACCCCCAACCCACATAATTCGTAACCCCACAACGAGACTTTCTTTGTAAGGACAGTTGATGTTCGCTTCGCTCACTCCGCTCCATCTCCTATCCTCTTTACTGGTATATTTATGAGCCATACCTAACAAATCTCCACCTTGGCGAATATCCTGCCTCTTGAAAATTCAATGTGGGTTGGGTTACCTTGATTCTTTAACAACTCGAAACATTCAACAAGTCCAAGCAATGCTTGAACTTGTCTGTCGTAACTGGCTTAGTGAACATATCAGCGGCATTTTCATCAGTATGTACCTTCTGAAACAAAACCTCTCTAGATGCAACCAACTCTCTGATCTTGTGGAACCTTACATCAATATGTTTAGTTCTAGCACGATACACCTGATTCTTAGCCAAGTGAATAGCACTTTGATTATCACAAAGCAACTGAACTCCACCTTGTTGAACACCCAACTCCTTCACTAAACCATAAGCCATAAAGCTTCTTTTGCAGCTTCAGCCGCTGCCATGTACTCAGCTTCAGTTGTAGATAGAGCCACAATAGATTGAACAGTAGACTTCCACAAATAGGCCCTCCACCAAGAGTAAACATACCCTGTCGTAGATCTTCTATTATCCAAGTCACCTGCATAGTCTGAATCCACATATCCTACAACCAAAGGATTATCCCGCTGACTCCCAAAACAATTCCATGTCCCACAGTACCCTTTAAGTACCGAAAGATCCACTTGACTGCTTCCCAATGTTGCTTACCAGGTTTAGACATGTACTTACAAACTTGACTAACAGCATGAGCTAAATCAGGACGAGTACATACCATCGCATACATCAAGCAGCCAACAGCATTAGAATACGGAACCTTTGCCATATCTTCAGCTTCCTTACTGTCTTGGGGCACTGTTCTGATGAGAGCTTAAAGTGATTCGCCAATGGAGTGCTAACTGGTTTCGCGCTGCTCATCGCAAACCTTTCTAGCATTTTTTTTCAACATAACCCCGTTGAGATAGCCGCAGTTTCCTTGAGTCTCTGTCCCTGCAAATTTCCATTCCAAGAATTTTCTTTGCAGCACCTAATCTTTCATATCAAATTCCTGACTCAATAAAGTTTTCAAACCGATAACATCATCCATGTTCTTCGCAGCAATCAACATATCATCAACATACAGTAATAGAAAAATAAAAGAACCATCATCAAGGCTCTTAACATAGACACAACAATCATACTCACATCGGTTGTAGCCAATCTTGATCATATAGGAGTCAAACCGTTTATACCACTGTCTCGGAGACTGTTTCAACCCGTACAAAGATTTCTTCAATCTGCAAACTAAATGCTCGTTTCCAGGTTGAGTGAAACCTTCAGTTGCCGCATGTAGATCTGCTCCTCTAAATCACCATGCAAAAAAGCAGTTTTAACATCCATCTGCTCTAAATGTAAATCCCAACTAGCCACCAATGCAAGTACTGCTCGGATTGAAGTGTGCCTGACCACTGGAGAAAAGATTTCATCATAATCAACTCCTTTCTGCTGTGAAAAACCCTTCGCTACCAAACGAGCCTTGAACTTCTCCCCCTTTTTTCTGTTACTACTGGTTTCTTCTTATACACCCATTTGCAACCAATCGGCTTCTTACCCTCAGGAAGGGGAACTAACTCCCATGTGCGATTGTGATTCAAAGACTCCATCTCCTCAACCATGGCTGCCATCCACTTGTCGTTTTCCTGACTAGTAACGGCATCATGAAAAGTAACCGGATCATCACTGCTAACAATAAGTGCAAAAGATACCAAGTCTTCAAAACCCAATCTGTTCGGAGGCTTTATATTCGTCCGTCTCACCCTGTCTCTGGCGAGACTATAATCCTGCAAATCATCCGTAGTGGAACCACCAGAAGTCGGTTGAGAGTTTCTGGTTTCTCAACTGGAAACTGCTCGAATCCACCACTGTCGTGTCTTGCTTCTGCTGCAACATGGATTGTTCATCAAAAACGACATCTCTACTAATCACAACTTTCTTCGCAACTGGATCCCAGAACTTGAATCCTTTGACACCTTTCTTGTAACCCAGAAAAATGCACTCCTTCGATTTTGCATCAAGTTTGGATCTCTCATCAGCAGTACATGCACATAAGCAGGACAACCAAAATCCGTAAGTTATCAAAACTAACATCATGACCAGTCCATACCTCTTCTGCAACTTTCCCAGCCAGCGATGCCCTTGGCGATCTGTTGATAAGGTAACACGCCATGTTAACAGCCTCAGCCCAGAAGTGTTTGGGAAGCCCCGCATTCAACCGCAAACATCTGGCTCTTTCATTCAACGACCTGTTCATTCGTTCCGCAACACCATTCTGTTGTGGTGTCTTGCGCACTGTAAAATGCCTCTGAATCCCATGCTCCTTACAGAATTGTAGGAACTGTGAATCTGTGTACTCCGTACCATTGTCAGACCGCAAACACTTGATTTTTCGTCCTGTTTGGTTTTCTACCTCAGCTTTCCACAGCTTGAACTTCTCAAAAACTTCAGATTTCTGTTTCAAAAAATACACCCAAACTTCAGATTTTTCGACTCCGGTCTCGATTCGATGCCCGTCAACAAGCCTCCTTTCTTCAATAGAGCTAACTATGCCTATTGGAAGAATAGAATGATGTACTTCATTCAAGCAAGTGACATGGGAGCATGGAATGCTGTAGAAGAGGGATACATCAAACCTCTCACTCATCCAAGGTTGTGGAGTGAAGGAGAGACAAGAATGTTCCAGCTCAACTCCAAAGCCATCCATATCATTTTTTGTGCTCTTGGACCAGATGAATACGTAAGAGTTTCATCGTGTACAGGGTTAATTTTGTAATTATGTACCAGGGTTTTCTATTATAAATAGAGATGTAACCTAGACCTAAAATATCATTGAATAAAAACTTCTAGCGCCGCCTAGGCACCGAGGACATAAGCACATTGCCGAACCTCGTAAAATTCTCGTGTTCTTTTGTTTTCTTTACCCGTTTTCGTCAACAGGAACCTATGCGTTGCCCCTACTGCAGGAGAGGGAAAGCCGAATCTGATCAAAGTGCACCTGGTTTCCCTTGTTCAGAGAGGCTGCCTTTCGGGTTTTATTGGTTTGGTTAGATCAGCTGATATAGAGGTTGCCAGACTAGGACTTCAGCTCACAGAGCAGGTGAGCAAATCTAGCAATTTATTTGTCTATTTTTACATCGTTATGCTCTGTAAAGTTTATCTATGTTATGTTCAACAGAATAGCAGAGCGATTTATTTGACTACTAATCTTAAATAATTTGGGGTCGGGTTGGGTCAATATGGGTTGGTTGAATTTGAATTTTAAAATTTTATGTTGCTTTTGGGTTTGGTTCAATTTTTATGTTTGAGTCGGTTTTGAGTTCAAATCATTTTAAGTTTGAACCATTCTTAATTTTTTAGTCAAGTTACTTCAGGGTCTTTTTTCGTTTGGGTTGTACTCAAGTTCGATTTAGATTTGGGTCATTCTTGACTAAGGTTATTTCAAGTTTGGATCATTCTTGGGTTTGGGTCAATTCTGGTTCCAGTTATTTTCAAGCTAATTGGGTTATATTTTCAAGTTTGGATCAGAATTGAGCGGTCTAATTTGGATTCATGTTCTCTATTTCCCTTATTTGTTGGCATGACAAACATGTTTTACTTGCTGCAATGTCTATAAAGCGAGCCACATTATAAATGCACAATGATATTTCCTTAATGTTTTGAGGAACAAAAATTATATTTAAATACTTAAAAAATCATATTTAAAAATGTAAGACTGGATTATTACTAAACATGTTATTTCTTTTAAAAGAAATCATTAATTTTATTCAAAATAAGAAATACTCTAAATTACAATAAATATTTACAATTATAATCGTAAATTAAGCATATAATTAGGATAATGTCCTATAATCATTGAAACAAAACTAACAACTTAGGATTATATAAGGACCATACAAAGAAAGATTAAAATCTAACTAAGAAAATTTGAACAAAGATTAAAATCAAGCCATTGAAAGACCACAAAAAAATTACAAATCAGACTCGAGTGACGTGATACACGAACGTATAAGTATAACAAGTATCCAAATTCAATCTGAGAGTCTAAAGCAGAGAAGATCAACAATGTAAGAGATAAGCATCATCTTGATCAGTCATGACGATGTATAATTAACCCTTAGAAAAATATAAATAAAAATAATGACCAAACAACCAAAAAAATATGTCAAAATACAGAAGAAAAAATGTCATAAAGACATAAGAAAAACGTGTCATACAAGTATATTTATTGAAAATAAAAAAAAAGTATAATAAATAATACATACGGTATAATTTACAATATAATTGACATATTTGAATAAATATAATGACAAAGACAAAAGAAAAAGACAACTACTTATATTTTAATACATATAGTGATATTTAATATATATTTTCAAATTTGAAGTGACAATATAATATGTATATAAATTTACAATATAATGGACATATTTTAATATTATATTGTCAAATTCAAAGTCACATTTAATGCTTAAGTTGACTACTTGTTCAGATAGACTTGTTTGATGCAATATTAATACTTTTAGGATTCAATCAAAATATTTTAGAACTTAGTGATTAATTTCAAATATTGAACCATAGTTTTGGAGTGTTCGGTGGAATTGGCCCGAAAGAGAAAAACCCTTATGGTTTCCTTTTAAAGGCTTGAAAATACTTAAGGTGCATTTGATTCACGGAATGTAAGATTACAAGTGGGAATAAAAGATTATGAGGGAATAGGATTACAGAGAATGTTGTATTTTGTGTTTGATTGGTTTAGCAGGAATGTAAGATTACCGTGTTTGGTTAAAGGAATAAAAGATTATTGAAATGTATATTTGACTAAATTATCTTTTTTATATATTTGTTTTTTAATAAATTGGAAAATATTTATATATATATTTTAAAAAATTTAAATTTATAAAATTTATAATTTTTTTTACAAATTTAAAAATATAAAAATGTTTAATGAAATGGTAAAATTTTATTTTAACTCTTAAACTTCATATAAAATTTTAATTATAGATTTTCTTTTGTAAATCTAAAATAGTTTAAGGATAAATTTGTAATTCAACCTTCATAAAATTTTTATTATTCAATGACAGAATAAATATATTTTTGAAAGAAAATTTTTTAAGGGCATTTTAGTCCAAAACGCCGGTAATCTAACAATACCTAAGAAAATAGAGGTAATGGCATTCCCGATAATATACTTAAAAAAATTCACTATTAATAATGACATTATCGTTCAACCAAACGTTCACTTTCCCCGACCAAAGACACCTTTAGGGGGTGTTTGGATGGGGGAATGTGAGATTCTCATGGGAATATAATTCACATTCCCCCGTTTGATTAGGCCGGGAATCTCATTCCCAGTAATGAAAGATTACCAATAGTGGATTTTTTAGGTATATTACCAGGAATATCATTATCTCCATTTCCTTAGGTATTGTTATATTACCGGCGTTTTGGACTAAAATACCCTTAAATTTTTATTTTAAAAAAAATATTCTTCTTCTGTCATTGAATGATAAAAATTCTACGAAGGTTAAATTACAAATTTATCCTTAAATTATTTTAGATTTAAAAAAAATCTATAATTAAAATTTTATATGAAGTTCAAGGATTAAAATAAAATTTTACCCTTTCATTAATTTTTTTTTATATTTTTAATTTTGTAAAAAAATTATATAAATATTATGAATTTAAATATTTTAAAAAATATATAAATATTTTTCAACTTGTAATATTATACAAATATATAATAAATACAATTTGGTCAAATATACATTTTAATAATCCTTTATTCCTTTAACCAAACACGATAATCTTATATTCTTGTTAAGCCAACCAAACACAAAATATAACATTCTCAGTAATCTTATTCCCAAGTAACCTTACATTACTAATATTACATTCCGTGAACCAAATGCCTGTCGCCACCGCAAGCACCACCGAAGCTCCAGCATCCGTCGTTAAATCATCGGTTGAACCGAACTATAAGCAGATCGTGGACCCTGCTCCACCTTCCCCGGATAAGTTAGATCCTCCTAGCTCTGATACTCTTGCTTCTGAAATATTGCTTAAGGAAATCGAGGGTTCGAAGGCCAGCGGGACTAGTGTTAGCTCGGTCGCTGGGGGTGGCGCCTGCCCCGTTAACGATATCCTGAAGAAGATTCTCCGAGCTGAGCGGTTTGGTGTACCGATTCAGTTGTCTGAGCAAGAGAAGCGTTATTCTAGGGCTGAGAGGTAACTACTTCTTTATTTCCCTTATCCCGGTTCGTAAAATTTGGGGTTTATCGGGTATTTAGGGTTCTTCATTTTAGTTTATACCTAGTCGATGAGAATTTTGTAGAGAAGAGAAGAAATTGATTATTTTATGTTGATTGATTGTTACGATATCCTGAAGAAGATTCTCCGAGCTGAGCGGTTTGGTGTACCGATTCAGTTGTCTGAGCAAGAGAAGCGTTATTCTAGGGCTGAGAGGTAACTACTTCTTTATTTCCCTTATCCCGGTTCGTAAAATTTGGGGTTTATCGGGTATTTAGGGTTCTTCATTTTAGTTTATACCTAGTCGATGAGAATTTTGTAGAGAGGAGAAGAAATTGATTATTTTATGTTGATTGATTGCTGGAAAGGTGTATTCTGATCTTTTTGATTGATTCTTGATGTGCTGATAAGCATATATTATTGCCATTGAATAAATTTCTCTAGTATTTTTTCTTTTTATATTGTTTATAATATTTTAACAGCTCATAATCATCAATCTATCTTGTCTTAGATTTAATCAACTTATTAGTTGATTCTCTAGAGATTAGTGTAACCTGATGTTACCAGCAATGTTGATCATTCTGATACGAGAAGCAAAAATTAGAACCTAAATTATTTCTTATATGAAACCTAATTAGACAAGGACAGTCCTCCCTGGTTTGTCCAGAAGGAACATAGTTTATTGGAACACAAAATGATTTTTAGAACTATATATATATATAGTTTTTACGTTACATAAATACATAATTCTAATTAAATCAATTATGAAGTTTGTTTTACTCAATAATTTTATAAGAAACTGTGTGTTAATGGGACTGCTAGTCTTATTGAATTTGATAACTAGCTGTCCTTGATTGGGTTTACCTATTTAATAATCATGCTTGCATGTTTGGCTGGGACAACTTAGCTAAATAAGGGCGCTTCTTACTTAGTTTTATATGATTAGAAAGAAATTCTATGGCTCCTTAAAATTTTGCAGTTGAAGGGTTTTTGTTGATGGTAAGGCTGTAGCTTTGGGTGTCAAACTTCATTTCTTGATTTTGTTTTTGGTTTTTCACTTTCTAACTTGTTGAGTTTGGACAAATCATGTTTCAGGTTTGGCCCTGCACCCAGCACAAATGGATCAGAAGCATCTAAGCAATCAGAGGACTTGAAGAGGAAAGTGAGAGCAGAGAGGTTTTTCCTATACCACCTTACCTGGTGGGTATATATATATGGCTTGCAGTTGCATTTATTCAGTTTTTTTTTTTTTTGGTTCTCAGGTTTGGGCTTTCTGTATCCTCTATGGGTGCTGATGAAGAGGAAAAAAATAAAGCACGTCTCACCAGATTTGCACCAGAATCCAAATCGGATACTATGGAAGAGGAGAAACGAAAAGCGAGGGCAATCAGGTATGTTTCTATGCTGAAAAGCTGTTTTCTTCAATATTAGAGATATAAACGCCTCTTTAGAAATCATTATGAAAAGTATTATTGAACTTTGATATTATCTGATCTTTCCAGGTTTTCTAATCCTCCATCAAGTACTTCATCACAGGCGAATGGCAAGGGAAATATTGAACCAGTAAGGCATTTAGTTGGTCATTTCTCTAGTAGATTGATCAGTTAGGAGAAAATCAAGTGATTTTAAGTACTATCTAGTATATTGATTCCTATACCATTTTTTGGCAGGAGGCTCTTATTGCTGGAAAGGCTGGTGAAGGAACCTGAATACGAGTTTCCTACATAGTTAGAAGGTGACTTTTGGAGATATAATTCTTTATGCATTCGGCTATATTCTCATATATAGTTGTTTAAGTAGATTCCTTTAATTACTTTGCATTATCCATTTTTTTTCAGGACCAGTAGTGTACTATCATTTTGTGATTCCCTCAGCGTCCTCTTTACAATGTTTTCCTTCAACCTTAGAATTCTTACACTCAGTAATCCTTCATCCTTAGATAAATGTCTAAAGCAGTGAAAAGGTTCCTTTGGCAGTTAGGCTCTATTCACTTGGTGAGGCCTATAGGGGAAACAACCATCACCTGTAGTGTTAACTTGTCTCAGATCCTACAAAGAGCATTAAAAACTCTGGTATAGGGGCTAGAAAATTTCAACTTTTCCCTTTTGGTAATGTAGTTGAGAAAGCATGAAGTAGTTGGTAATTTCTTCAATGGTTGTTCTGTTCCCTTGCGATGGTAATATTTTTGGAGCATCTTATTTTTTTTTTTTTGATAGAATCTTGGAGCATCTTATAATCTTCCAGTTAATTGGTATGATCAAGTGTGAGACAGCAGTAGTATTCATATCGAGTCTGTCTATTTCTATGGGTTAAAGAACTTAAAGTTGTTGATATTAGCAGCTTCATTGGAATTCTTGGGACTCTTTATCTTTTTCATAAATAACTTTGGTTTTTATATGTTAGTGATAGGCTCTTTTTTATTTTTTGGAATTGGGGCTTTGGCTGTAAGATGACACATGATAAACTAAATGCCTTTGATATGAGCAAATGTGGATACCTTTTTTCTGTGTTTACATTAAAAAAAGATTGGAAAGCTTTATTGTGGGAGTTCGTGGGAGGCTTATGTTTAGATTGTTTTTGTTCTTTTAATCACTGACTGTTGTCGTGTTTCTTTCGTTCCTTTCAAATGGTTAAAACAAGAAATAGAATAATTTGTTGGATGTGTGTACGTGCATGCATGTTCTCGCATGCACCCATTTACAGGTTTGTATGTCTATCTGCGCACGACACTCGTGGCTCAAATGGAACTAATCCTACTTCATTAGTTAACTCTCTTTCTATGCAACGCTGTTGTGGATATGATACTACTGCTGTTCAGTATTTGATCATGAGAGGTATATTGAAAAGTGTGAATGGTTTTCATAATGTTTAAGATTTTGAATATTGGGAACATTTTCAATCATTGATGAGACTATATGATCGAAAAGCTAATACTTTTTTTTCAGAGTCCATTGCTTTAAAATTTATTCTTCTGGTTTATTTTCGAGATAAGTGACACTACCACACTTTAAGATGATTGTTAGCTTCCCTTAGGTCTCAGTCTCACCAGATGAATTGCTGATAAATCCGACAAGGTAATCATCGTGGGAATGAAGGCTGCTAATATTTCCTCAATCTTTCTTTTTTTCTCGTGTAAAGATGAAGTGTTAGTAATTAGTTTTTTGGTTGGAAAATTTTGTATGGAAGACCGGTTAAACATTGAGGGAGTCGCAAAGTCTTAACATTATTTACTTCAAAGTTTTTGGTTTAGGGTCATAAATTTTTGTATGGAAGACCGGTAAAGATGAAGTGTTAGTTGGTAATAAGTTTGTGCTGCTTTTTAATTTATAAAACGAACGTAGAGTATGATGGTTTTCATCTGGCTATCGGTATTAGTATGTTATGGTGTACCATTTTGGATTTCATATGTAATTCAGTTTTTTCAATATTCAATTATTTGATTTTTTTAAAGCACTCGTAAAATCTTGTGCTAAAGTACAAGCATTGATAACATGTATCGAATTTTTTTTATTTGAAATAAAATTTGGATTTTATATTAATCTCGTAGATGCAATTTATCTTCATATGCTATTATAGTAATCTTGCTCTAAACAAATGCGCGCTTTATTGTTAAGATGAATGGACGAAAACTACATAAGAGCATAAACGTAAAACTAATGCAGCTGAGGCGTACGCGTAATCTCAAAGATGGATTGTGAACGAGTGTTAAAACTACACCTTTAGAAGTATACGGTAGCAGAACCTATCGACTGACATTAGAAGGGGTGTCATTCTCCTTTGTAGTCATAGATTATAGCAGTTATGTTTGTAAGACATGTACAAGTTGTTAATGATTAAGAACAATCTTAAGCTTATATTATCTTATAATCACTTCAGACTATTAAAAAAAGTATATATCAATAGACTAATTGGTATTCGAAGCTACTATATTTATTTTACTTAAACAAAGTGATTGTTAATCAATTTGGTTTGTTTCGATTGAAATTTTAAAAATAAGTACCATATAAGTTAATATGAAAATAAAAATAATAAAATTAATTATAATTGATTTAGATTAATCTCGAAATTGCTCAATTGCATCATTTTATACCCTACACCTCACTTAAAACCTTAAATCGAGGGTTTTAAGTTAGATATCATAGTTTAGGGTTTAAAGTTTAAAGGTTATAGTTTAGAGTTTAAGGTTTAGAGGTTATGGGGTTCTGGTTTAAAGTTTAAGGTTTTAAGTTAGGGTAGGGTTTAAAAAGATGCAATTAAATAATTTTGAGGACTAAATTGATGCGAAAATATGATAAGATCAAAAATGATAAATTAGATCTATTACGTGGGCAAAGATAACCCTTAATCCTTTAAACAAATATTATAAACTATTAGGAAAAAAATGCAATTGATAAAGAGATAAGCCCATAAAGCAAATTTCCAAATGGGCGTCCAAGGCTGACAGTCGTCCCCTTTTTCCCAAGTCATTTATGCAACTTCAAAACGACACAGAATGGTTCAAAATGGCGTCGTCTCCTTGGCTGGAATGTAATACATGTATGCACGCTTCTTCGTCTTCTCTTCTTCCCTCCTCTCTACTTTTTTCCATCCAAAGGGCTCTCTCAACATTGCTTCAAACGAAAGCCTGAATTTCCTTTAGTTTCTTGAGAAAACTACACTGAGGTAAAACCTTTTAAACTGCTTAACTGATTCGATCATTGTTTTTAGTTTCCAATAACACTCGCTACTTCCGAAAACGGTCCAAAACATGCACATTTATATAAATATTTCCAAGTTCCCCAAAAATAATCCAATTCTTCAAAAACAAGAAACTGAAATTTTTTATTGTTTATATGCACGGTAGCATTATCTTACAGTGAAGGAAAGTATACTGGATCAGCAGTGGAGTAGTATGATATAGTTAAATAAAGCTAGATTTAATCAAAGGGTATTATTTTTTTTTGTTTTATATTTTATATCTGGATTATAATCGGATGCTTGTTGATCTTGCATTTCTTATCATTATCTTATTTTGTCAAAAAGGGTATTTTTATCTTTGTTTTTCACTTTGAAATCTTTATTGTTTTTAATTGAAAGTGTTGATTCTTCATGTTAGATGTTGATGATCAAATTTGATGGTAATGAAGGAGAAATGCTGGCCTTGAACCCTAAAAAACATGGCAAAGAGGATCCTATATGGACATCTTCGTTTCAAAGTGTAAAGTACCCTGATATTGAGTGTTCAAAGGGAGACCTTTCCTACAAGGAAAATGTAGCTCAGTATTCTAATGTTTACAGTGAATGTAATTGTGCAACAATGGGCACAAGCGGTGGTGAGGGTGTTGTTGAAATCACAGACGGTATAAAGCTTATTGAGGGAGATATAGAAGCAGCTTTAATTCTGATGAAATTATCAAACGATCATTTATGTTCGCTTAAGACTAAGTTGCAATCACCAGCAAGGAATGGAGCTTCTCTTAGTCAGCGAAACTGGAGCAGAACGAAAGTTGGCAATGAATGCATGAACAACGATGTTGTTGGAAAATTTGGGACGAATGGGTCGAACTTATTGAATTTGAAGCTGAAAAAGATGGCGGGAAGGACATACATGGTTAAGCAAGTTGAAGTTGATTACCATTGCATCAAGACTGAAAAGGTCCTTGATGAAAATGAACTGCCAATTTCTTCTTTGAAGAGAAAGAAACTGTGTAAGTCTTCCTTGGGGAAATGTGGTTTAAAGGAAGTGAAAGCTCAACCTGGTTCCTTTGGAGGATCAGAGGTTGCAAATAGTGTTCAAGAGCAGAAAGGCTTGATCCCGGAACCATTTGAGAGATTGCAATTCAGTTCAAGATGCCCCGCTGCTCACCCGGGGATTTCGTTCTCCATCATACATTTCCTTTCCGCCATTCGCACCGCAATGATTTGTCCGTTTGCAAAAGATGAACCTTCAGCATCAAGCTACAATTCTGCTAAAAGCAATCCTGAAGGCAATGGCAGATATCATTGTCTAACCATGTCTGAAATTGTTGAGGGAGTCAGATTGAATCCCGGGGATCCTTGCGTTCTCGAAGCTCAGGAGCCACTTCAGGAGTTGGTTCGAGGTGCTCTTGCTATATTTTCGTCAACAACAGCACCTCTTGGTGGAAAGGGCTGGAAGGCTCTCACTATCTATTCCAAGTGTGACAAGAGTTGGTCCTGGATCGGTCCATTGTCTATTAAGCCACACAACGATATGAAAGAAGCTTTATCGTCCGAAGCTTGGGGTCTTCCAAGCCGGACAGTTCTGAAATTAGTCAATTGCTTTGCGGATTGGTTGAAAATTGCTCAAGAGAGTCTTCAAAAGATTGGAAGCCTTCCTGCACCACCATTGACATTGATGCATAAAACTGTCAATGTAACAGAAAGATTAAGAGAAGTCCGTCCTCGAAAAACTGTAGCTACCATCAGTCGTTGCCCCAAAGAAATAAGGGATTATTTCAGAAAGGAAGAAGCTGTTAGGTACGTTGTTCCAGAGAGGGCCTTTTCCTACACTGCATTAGATGGCAGAAAATCCACAGTTGCTCCACTAAGGTGTAGCGGCAAGCCATCATCAAAATGCAGGGAACATTTCATGCTTAAAGCAGATAGACCACCGAATATCACAGTACTCTCTCTCGTGAGGGATGCAGCAGCCCGATTGCCGGACCATATGGGCACTAGAGCCGACATTTGTGTCCTTGTAAGAGACTCGCAATACATCGTGGAAGAAGTCTCTGATGAACAACTCAATCAAGTTGTCAGTGGCGCCTTGGATCGATTACACTATGAGCATGATCCATGCGTGAGATTCAATGTGGAAAAGAAGTTATGGTTCTATTTACACGGAGATAGAGAAGAAGATGATTTCGAGTACGATGCTACATTTTCGACAAAGAAACGAAGAAGGCAACGATGAGTTCCATGAATATAATTGCAGCAGCTTTTTTGCACCTTATATTAGCTAAATACCATCTCTTCTGTAGTCTTGAGTTATGATTTTTTTAGTTAGGCCAAGTTAACGAATATGAACATCTCAAAACAAAGCGTTTGTGGATGGAACTGTTATGTTCGGTTTCAGATTTGGACAGTTTGGATCGAAACAATTCTTATTTTTAATTTATTTTTGTTATTTCAGCTTAATATAGTTCCAAATTCGACTTGGATATTTTAAATTAAATAATGTTACATTAATTCATTTGAAATTGGCAGGTTCGAATTTTTTGAATTAAATCAAACTAAATTTTAAATCGATCATGCCAGGCCACCTTGGTTTTTACACGACAGACATTCATGAATTGCCTTCAGCCATGAATATATTTAAATCAACCCAAAGGAATTGATGGTTCACTTTGAAATCTCTTATCTTCTTTCTCTGTCGACCGAGTCCTTTCTCTTCTAACAAATTACAACTGAATCTTCCAAGCAAGAAACTAAAGCATTGAGAATCGGAGCCTCAATTTCATTTAAGAAACTCTTTTGGAGAATCTGAATAACTCAAAACTATCTTTGTCCTATCCAAGTTTTTTAGAAACAAATTCAGATCAATTTACTCTCCAAATCGTTTCAATGATTTGGGTTATTCAAATTCACCAACTGAAAATTTATTGCATTTAATCCAGTTGTGCTTTCAAAACTATAAATTCGTGATGAAATTTAGTATCATTGTTTAGCAATAAAAACTGGGGTTTTCAGACACGATTATGGGGAAGTTATAGTTTATAGTTTATGTACTATTTTATATTAAGTCTTAATTTTTTAATAATGAGTGATTAAAATGAAACTAAAAAGTAATAATATATATGATTTTCAAATAAAAAAAATAATAGTAGATATTAAACGTGTAGTTTATCCGCATAAAAGCATACTTTTCCTGATTATTGAATTGTTAGGTCTGAGAAGAAAGTCCTTAGATAACGAGTGGAACAGTGTTTTGGCGGTAGAAAATATAACTGCTGCTGGGTAGAAAGTAGGTGAAACCCAGCACTTCACCTAAATGTTTCAATACATTAAATATATAACAGTCGAAATGTATTACAATTGCCGTTTTTCAAGATCTCACTTACAAACCAGGCTTTGTAAATATGGGAAAAGTTTTCTTCACCACTGTCAACACCGAGAGCTTCGGGGGCAACAATGGCTGGTTTTCTCCACTATCTGTACAATTTCTTCATTGTCTTCTTAACATCGTCCAAGCTACCAAACGGGTGCTCATTCACATAATTCCCCGGCGGATCATAGTTGCAAACGATGAACGATCCTTTGCTATTACTGCATTTAACACTGGCGCAACCCACGCTACGCGTATCTTTCCATACAATCTGGGTATAATCAGGGCCGGCCCTATACATGTGCTAGATGGACGATGACTCAGGACAATATGTAGGGGCATCATTTTCTAGAAGATAAAGATGGACAGCATGTACGTGTTACTGCAAGTTGATTTAGACAAAAAAAGGTGCTGCTGACTGTGGTTTTGTTGGTAATTATTTGGTTCACCATTCAACTCGACATCAGCTGAGTCAAACCCTTATTCAGTTCCTCCACTTGTTCTTTTCTCGCCACTTAATTGCATTGGAGAATCAGGGAATGAAGTGTTGAGTAAATGGGTTGAGGGGACATCATGTTTGAGGGACATCAAATTTTCTTTACTGGTTTTGTTTGCTTTGTGTTAAATTAATCAATGAAATCGGTATAACGAAATGAAAGGAGTTATAATTCTTTTATGGGATTTGAATTTTCAATTTTTGCAGGTGTTGTAATTTTTTTGCTTAAAATTATGTTTTGTTGATGGGATTGAAAGAAAATCTGGAAAAATTAAAGTTAATTTGTTAGTTGTTTTTTAGTGTTGGGTTATTTGAGAATTATTATTAATCATTTTAAATGTATATAATGGGTTGTTGAAAAACGAGCCGTAAGACTTGTTATATAGGGAACTGAGAGCTTTATCTGAAATGAAGTTGTAACATATAGCTTCTATAGAAATTATCTTTATCCAAAAGAAAATGTTACATATTGCTTCTACGGAAATGATCTTTATCTGAAGTGAAAATTCTTTGGTTTTCCGGATTCTGAAGTCAGTAGAAAATGGTGAGACAATGAATAGATTTATTAGGATTAGGAGCCTCATTTTGTAATGCGGAAGGAGTCGTTTATATGAGATTTAGGGCCAGGAATTGCACAAGTTTGCACCCATGAATGGGTTGAATCCTAATTCGTTGCTTCATCATCCAGACTGAAAAATGCCGGGTTTGGATTCATTGATTTTTTTGAGGTGTTGTGGTGTCATTTTTCCTGAACTTCTCCGATTCTGATCTTACATGTTTGCTTTTAATTTTATGTTTGTAATAGTTTTTCGGATATAAGCAATTAGCATGTCACACGGATCTCTCATGTTATGTATGTCTTTTCTTCTTTTTACACTGTACAAATCCAGCAGCAGGTCGAGAGAGATGCTGCCATTGCACGATTAGAATAAAGTCGGATAATTCTTGCATTGAGATTGGCTGAGCATCATGGAAAGAAGTACAAAGTAATTGATGAAGCTCTAGCTTTTGTGGGAGATGTACACGATGCTAGCCGTTATGTCTCACCCGAAAACCTTTACCGTATGCCAAACAGTCCATTTGGACAGAATCTAGTATCACACAAAGGGAAGTACTCTGATAAGCTAATCAAAGTTCTGGTTTCCAGCTTCAACTATGCAAAGAAATCCCTGAATTTTGACCATATGGGTGGGATACTAAGCAATGTAGCTATATTCGCAATCAGCATGGTAGCAATGATGCATCTCCAACAGCTTGCTCTTTCAGAACTTTCAGGGAGACAAGAAAATAACACCAGAGAAACCCGAGAAAGAAATCTCAACTTGAAGGACATAAAATTATTATCTCGCCCATAGCATTAAAATTCATTGGACCGGCCCCGGGTATAATGGCAACACATCTTTTTTTTGGCGCGCGAGTTTGATATCGGGTCGAAGAAAGCTTGCTCCGACGCCCATGATTTTACCACCGTCGCAGGCCTCCAATTCCTCGAGCCGTCGCCCCAAAACAGGTTCTCCCCATAAGAGCCGTGCGAATGGATCAACTTGCAATCATTGGAACGCTTTTCAGCCCACTGTTCGGCGAAGTTGGCGACGGTGTAGTTCCAAGTTAAAGGTGATTGTCCATGGCGGAGTCTCACGGCGTTGTGAGCCGAAAGGAAATCAGTGACGAATTTGGAAGTACCCCTTCTGTTTATCGGAACAACGATCGGTTTCATTGTATTGCCTTTGCCTTTGCCTTTGCCATTGTCATTGGTGGGTTTTGGCCGAGGAGCCACGCCAGCCAAAACGGTGAAGTAAAGGACGAAGAAGGTTGCGACGAAAGTGAAGGTTTTTGTTGACATTTTAGCTTGCTACGAGCCTACGACATATTATTCAGACGACTCATATATATAGCGATGGCGGAAGTCAAGTGAGGAAGAAGAAAGCGTTTTCGATTGGTTTCCAAGTTTCAAACTTTGTTGTTAACAAAAAAAAATTATAAGTTAATTTAACAGATACAGGTGTAATACCGGTATTATTGTTGATAATAGATATAGGTTTTATTTTTTAATTATCGATTTTTTATAAAGGTGGAAAAAGGATTAATATCAATAATCTTTTGTTAGTATATTAAATTTTTGGTTGATATTTGTAATTATTTATTAAATATTTTATTTCTTAATTTCTAAAGAAAAGAAAATTAGAAATATCCATGGATACTATGAAGTAGGCATAAAGCAGGCAATCTTGCCCATGGAACATGGATATAGGCATCGTCATGTTTGAGATTTTAGATTACAAAAATTAGGTTTAAGCATTACTAGGAATTTATTCTTAGAATCATTTTATTATTCATTTAAATATAACTGTATTACAGAGTTCGTTTTTTATCTGAAAATTTCATTGATGATCCATAAAAAATTATTACAAGGATATGATATGAAGATCAAGCTCTATAGGCACAATAATCACAACTTCAATCGCAGCATATAAGAGTTCGTTTCCAGTAATGTTATATTTGTGTATGTACGTTTTAGTTATAGTTCAACCTTAGTTAAGTTTTGATGGATCAATATGATATTCTTAATTCAATGATAGATTTAAAAATATTTTTTATGACGGACACACACGTTAACAACATAAAATTTTAAATGAGGTAAGCATAAATAAAATTTTAAGATGAACACCATCAGTAAAATATATAACTAACCAAGGAAAAACCGTATATATCCATCCTCAAAAAGCTGTGAATCCGCCACCACCCTAACTTGATTTCCTTCTAAACTGGGTTAGATTATTACAATTACAAAGTAAATTATTAATCACTTTCACCCTCGAGACATAAACACAAGCATACATACATTTACATATATAGCTACAATCGTAAGGTTTTCAATTTTTTTATATTAATTGTTCATTTTATTAATATGTTCATCCTAAATTTTATTTTTGCTTATTCTATTCCATTTTTTTATTAATATGTATGTGTTCATTGTAAAAATATTTTTAGATCTACCACTATAATATATATATATATATATATATATATATATATTGAAATTTCCTAATTACTCTTAGGATAGTCTCTTAAACCTCTATTTTAACGTGATCCCCAAGCATATAATCATAGGCATCCACTTTGGGTCATAAAACAGAAAAATAAAATTTTCAAAACAAAATATAAATTTAAACACTTATTTTATCATTAGACCCACAAATATTAATTAACATTCACCACCATTTATAGAAACACAAATAGAAATGTGTATCTAGTCCGTCCCATTTTTGTATTCCTAGGGTAAATACCAAATGATCATAATAGGTCAATTAACAGCCGCTTACAGTATCGCCACGTGTGCATTGCCCTCGTCCAATTACCCGCAGCGCGAACCGGTCAGCAACGGATCTTTGTTTCTTTTTGGTTCCCTGTCTCTATCTTCACGCAAAAAAAGACAATAACTTCCAAAACCGCCATTTCTCATTACTTTTTTGCCCTAATTTCTTCATTTAACCGGTTATTAAATAACTAAAAGAAGATTAGAGGAACGCCCGCCCGCTAATTTTCTGTGACTTTTTTGGTTTGTTTTATCGAGAAATTGAATTGTTTTAGCTCGCTATGTCGATTCGCCATCTGTTAAATTCGAGAATTTCCTTCCATTTTCTCGTTTGGTGGATCTTGTTTGGTTGTTTTCCAGGTGATGCAACTTTCCGAAGAAAACAAACTGAAATTGTGTACTGGTTTTCTGGCAGGCATTTGGCGTTTAGGAATTAGGATTGACTTTGTAGATGAAACTCACGTTTTTTCGATGAAATTTTGAAAGAGAGAATCTATCTTTCTTCCCTTTTTGATTTTGTTTGTTTGTTTGTTTTAGGAATAATTTCACCGTTTGTGGTTACATTGGATTCAGTTGAAATATTCCGCACACACGATTGGATTTCAAAACCGGCCGTCTATTTCGCTTGTAAAGGAGAGAAAAAAACGCTGTTACCCGATGTAACCAAACCCGGCTTCATTTATTCTTTCAGGGGTCAGGAATCTTGGCAGGTTCTTAAATAATTCGCCCTGATTTTCAATTTTCAATTTTCAATTCTCTTTTTTCTTGATCGCGTATTACTTGTTAGTAGATAATTTATATTAGAACTTCATTCAAGAGTGTGATATCAATTTTGCATTTACGAGATTTGCAAAGAGTGTGTAATGAAATTGCAAGCTTTGTGATTTCAGCCGGTGACAGAATTGAATGGCAAGAAATGCAAGCGATGTGGATTCTACGATAATTATGTCATCAAAATAGATTATGTATATGAGGAGTGGGAGTTTTGTGCTTCTGATTTCAAAGCTCCACTTGGGAAATACATTTTGTTTAAAAAAAACCAACTTAATGCTACGTTCCACTGTCAAGAATGCACAACTCTTCCTGGTGGTAAGGTTTTTATTTTTTTCGTGGAATCTTTCCGACTTTCTGCTCCGGTAATCCGGGGCACGGTTTCATCATGTCGATTCTTGTACCTCGCTCATACGTTATTTACTTGACCGCACACTTGCTTTGGTAATATTGCTGTTTAAATCCTGATGCACAAGTTGTTTTCATTGTAGTTGACAAATTGGTATTTATCGTTTGTTTGTAGCTTCCAATGCAACCCCTCAAAATATTAATGACGACGACGACGACGATGGGAAGGCAATACGTGTCTTTATAATTATTCTGATTACCCTGCTGGTTTTAACTGTAACAATAATTGCACTTGTGGTGGCACATAAACATTGGCAAAAGAAGAAGAGGCAACAAGAACAAGCTCGGTTCTTAAAGCTATTCGAAGAAGGGGATGATATCGAGGATGAACTAGGCCTTGGTACTGTAATATGATGAAAAGAAACTTTGTTACCTCCTTTACAGTAAGTTCACCTTACATAAAATTTTGCTTCTTGTGGGAGGGAAAGGAAAGAAAGAAAATCAGTACTTCTTTGTGCAAATTTTGATATACATCTGTGATACTAAGTTGGCTACAGATGTGTGTATAGTTGAGCTTTGTGGCTCTCTTGGCCCCTCTATTAGTTCAATAGTATCTAGGTTCTAAGTCTTGTAATGAAGAACAACAAAACCCTTTGCTTTTAACTAGCACATCAATGGAATCACCATTTATCAGTAGCTGATATCATGTTTTAACATTATTTTGCTTATATAAATTATTGCAAATTTGGATACATCTTAATAGGAACACTACCTGGGTGGATTTCACCTTCACTGCATATTGTTGTATTCATTTTTTTCCCCAAAGCAGACAAGGGAAGTACCCGAAGATGCCATCACAAAGTCCCGTTTCATCAATGCGGTAGCCATTGGTAGTTCTCTGTTCCTCTCCATAGTTGCAGTGAGATTCTCCATCTTCTTCTTCTTATTCACAATATTGATGGTTACACCAGGGGTTAAAATCACAATCAGGCCGGCTAAATCCATCCTCCTGATTATAGATGGTTGAACTCTGATGCTGATCTTCACTTTGGCTATAGTCTTCCTTGTTAACCATAGCGTCATTGCATCCATCATCTTCCCCGCCGTACGTGCCGCCATGGAACAGATAGTCTCCCCAGTAGCCTCCATGGCAAGCATCATATTCCGATAGCCAATGCCTGCAATCGCAATCTGATTGCCTCTCGTGTCGTCCATGGTAAGCCGTCTCTTCAAGCGAGTGTGGATCGGAAACAGGATAAAGATCGAAAATATCAAACAATGAAGCTGGTTCTTCATTGTTGGTATTGAACCAGGAAGTGTAATTATCAATGGCAGGCGTTTCTACCATGCCAGAACTGAAGTCCTCCATTGCTGCTACCACTATTAAAGCTCTAAGATTCTGCAGTCCCCTTGGTTATGACAAAAAGGCAAGTGATGAAATTTCGTAAATCCTTTAAAATTGGTGGGAGATTCTTTGTTAAAAGTATAATAGGGATCCCTCTACTATAGCAAGAAATTCACTTTAGTCCTTATACATTGAACACAACATTTTAGTGCCTTTATATTAGATCCGTTAACAAAATTGGTATTTTCCGAAACAATTAAAAAAGAATAATATAAACTTGTGTCCATTAAGGAGAGTGACAAGCTTCAAAAGAGGAACATTGCAGTTCAAAAATGGTTATTTCCGTAACTGTAAGAACGGACTAAAATGTTACGTTTCAAAATAAAAGGATTAAAAATGATTTTTTCTAGAGAATGGAATCTGTTTTTAGAGGAAAAATTGGGGAATTTAGGCGGCTTTTTTATGGAAGATGAGGGCAGGTCGGTCGTTAGAGCATCTTATGCAAAACTTCTCAATCACCGAAATGCATCCACTTGCTAGTAAAGCGTTTCTTATATTCTCACCATGTCATAATGGGTATCTATATTACCCAAATCTTTATCTTTCTATTATTTGACCGATGTAGTTTCTATCATAATTTAATCATTTATAGGTTCTTTACTTTTCAAAATATTTTTTTTACGAATCTAAAATATAATCTTAATTATATCTAGATAAAAAAATTAAATAATAAAAAAATTCTCTTAATAAAATTAAAACTCATAGCTTAAGAAAATACTTGCTCTACTTTCCAAAAATATGTTTTCAGTTTTGAAATATATTTTTTAATTATATTAAATTATAATTCTGTTGACATGTGATAAGATGGCATATATATTTTAGTTTTTTATAAGTTATTTTTTTTTTCTCTTTTTCTCTCAAATTTTAGACCGTAATCTAATCGACTATTATAGTCGGTGATTTGGGGCAGTCATCATCAACCCCTTTTATTCTACCATCTTTCTTCTTTCACTTTTCTTTATTCCTTTCTTTTCTTCTTTTCGTATTTTCTATTTGATCAACTATTTCTGTTTTCTTCTTCTTTTATTTATAGTTCACTGTTTATATCGATATGGTTAAAGCTAACAGATAAATAAATATCGATATTCCTTTAGTAATATCAATATTATTTTTGTAAAATATTTAAATTATATAGTTAACATTTAATTATATTAAAATTATAATTTAATCTTTAAGATTATCTCAGTATAAAATTAATTTCTGAATGAAATTGCTTTGATATGAACTATGATGTATTAGTTAGATGTGAATGTATGGTGTATTATTTTAGATGTTCTTCATTCTAGATCCTTCAATAACATCTCGTGTTCGTTTTTCGTTTCGGTTGAGTTAGGGACATTACAATCTAATTATTTAAATAAAATTAATCAAATTACTTATTATTAACATTCAATGAAAGAATTAACATGATAATTAAAAAAAAATTATATAATTATATATTTGGTGTTGAAAATTCAATATTAGCCTAAATGTTCACACCTAAATTAATTTGATGTCATTGCTTACATCAATTTAGTTTTGATGTCATTGCTTACATCAATTTAGTTAGGTGAAAATTAAGTATTTTTCTCATGTTTTAATTTCAATGGTTTAGATTATTTAGTGTTTATTTTAATGAGTGGTTTAGATTGTTTCTTGTAACCTATAAATACCCTACTTGTATTTGAGTTTTATCATCCAACAATCAAAGCTTAATTATAAGCATTTGAAAGCTTTCTTAAGAGTTCTTCCCTTTTGCAATTTTGTGAGATTATTCTAAAGAGAGTTTTTTTTGGATCAATTAGAGTTTTTACTCTATTTTGATTCAACAATTGGTATCCGAGCCACGTTTTTTAAGATCTCTTGAAATTCTGAGTATGCTCTGTGGCTGCAGTTTTTAACTGATCTTCCACATCAGAAAATATTTCTTGAGTTATTGTCGAGGTTATTACAAACCTTGTGGAGCTTCTTTGTGTTTAGAGTAATTTAGTACTCTGCACGTTTGTTACTCAAGCTTGTTCGGTGTAGTCAAAGCCTTGCCGTTAAGATGGGTGATCTTCAAGTAGTTGGAGGAATCAAGAAGCTCAACAACAAAAACTACAACACGTGGGCAACATGTATGGAGTCATACTTACAAGGTCAAGACCTTTGGGAGGTTGTCGGTGGTGGTGAAGTTACACAACCGGCGACAGAAGATGCCAATGAAATCTTGCGAAAGTGGAAAATTAAAGCAGGCAAAGCAATGTTTGCTTTAAAGACCACAATTGAAGAAGAAATGTTGGAGCACATCCGGGATGCTAAAACACCAAAGGAAGCATGGGACACTTTTGTTACACTCTTTTCGAAGAGAACGATACAAAATTGCAACTTCTCGAGAATGAACTTCTATCAATGGCGCAACGCGACATGGCGGTTGCCCAATACTTTCACAAGGTGAAGTCGATATGCCGTGAAATTTCAGAATTAGATCCGACAGCTGCTATTGGGGAAGCCAGGATAAAAAGAATAATTGTCCATGGTTTGAGACCCGAATATCGAGGGTTTGTTGCCGCTGTACAGGGATGGCCGACACAACCATCGCTTGTTGAGTTCGAAAATTTGCTTGCAGGTCAAGAAGCCATGGCCAAGCAAATGGGAGGAGTCTCGTTGAAGGGTGAAGAGGAAGCGCTCTACACCAGCAAAAGCAGAGGCACTTTTCAGCGGTATACTGGCAATGGATCTAAAAAAGATGGTGACAAGGTGAAAAATTACCAAGGAAATGGAGGCCCTCATTCAGGGGGAGCTTCCAAGAATCGCGGTAATAGTAGAAAGTTCGATGGCAAGTGTTACAATTGTGGGAAGATGGGCCACATGGCAAAAGACTGTTGGACCAAGAAAAAGTATGTTGAAAGTAATACTGCTACTTCTTGTTCGAAGGAGAATAGTGAAGATGGTTGGGATGCTGAAGCGTTATTTGCTACGGAGGAAGAAGAATTAGCTCTCATGGTAACAACACCAGAACGGATTGACTACAAGAATGATTGGATCGTAGATTATGGCTGCTCAAATCATATGACGGGTGACAAACAGAAGTTGCAAAACCTGTCTGAGTACAATGGAGGTCGTGTGGTGGTGACAGCTGACAACTCAAGGTTACCGATAACTCACATCGGTAAGACAATAGTTACTCCTCGATATAATACTAACCAGGTGCAACTCCAAGATGTTTACCATGTCCCAGGAATGAAGAAAAATTTGCTATCTGTGGCTCAACTAACATCATCAGGCCATTATGTCTTATTTGGTCCCCAAGACGTGAAGGTTTATCGTGATGTCAAAATCACAGAAACACCAACAATGGAGGGACGACGTTTGGAATCAATTTACGTGATGTCAGCAGAGTCTGCATATGTAGACAGGACAAGGAAAAATGAGACATCAGATCTATGGCACATGCGGTTAGGTCACGTTAGCTATTCCAAGCTAAGTGTGATGGTGAAAAAGTCGATGCTTAAGGGGCTTCCTCAACTAGACGTGAGAACAGACACGGTCTGTGCGGGATGCCAGTATGGTAAAGCACACCAATTACCATATGACGAGTCAAAATTTAAAGCAAAAGAACCTTTGGAGTTGGTTCACTCTGATGTGTTCGGACCGGTTAAGCAACAGTCAATTAGCGGTATGCGGTACATGGTAACATTCATTGATGACTTCTCCAGGTATGTGTGGGTTTTCTTTATGAAAGAAAAATCTGATACTTTCTCAAAGTTTAAAGAGTTCAGAGACTCAGCTGAAGGAGAAGTGGGAAAGAAGATATGCTGCTTGTGCACAGACAACGGAGGAGAATATAGATCAAACGAGTTCTCTCAATACCTAAGGGAATGTCGAATACGTCATCAGTACACTTGTGCCAACACGCCACAACAGAATGGTGTAGCGGAAAGAAAAAACCGGCATCTTGCAGAAATTTATCGAAGTATGCTACATGCAAAGAACGTATCTGGAAGGTTTTGGGCTGAAGCAATGAGGACTGCAGCCTTTGTGATCAACAGACTTCCTCAACCAAGGTTAGGATTTGTTTCACCCTTTGAGAAACTATGGAACATAAAACCTACAGTTAGCTACTTTCGAGTATTTGGCTGTGTATGTTATGTGTTTGTTCCTGATCATTTACGGAGCAAATTTGACAAGAAAGCTGTTAGATGTATCTTTGTGGGATATGACAGCCAGAGAAAAGGGTGGAAATGTTGTGATCCAATTAGTGGAAGATGCTACACGTCACGAAATGTGGTATTTGATGAAGCATCTTCTTGGTGGTCCTCAGAGAAGGAG